TATTTAGATAAATCGAACAAGAATTTAGAGGTTTTGAGTCCTCTTATGAAAATGGTCAAAGCCACCTTGTCGTCCACCTCTTCTACCTGCAACATCTCTATGTTTAATCGGGTGATGTATTCCCGGATCGACTCTCCCTTCTGTTGCTTCACAGTAAGTAGGTAGATGGCCGGTCTCTTATGCTTCTGACCTGCAATGAAGTGGCTCACAAACTGCTTACTCAGTTCTTCGAAGGTGTTGATGGTTCCTGGCTTCAGCTTGTTGAACCAAACTCTTGCTGATCCATTAAGTGTAGTGGGAAAAATTTGGCACATGATTTCATCTGGCACGGCATGTAAATGCATGAGAGCTTGAAAAGTCTACAGGTGATAGAGGGGATATTTGGTCCTATTGAAGCTTTCGAATGAGGGCAGCCTGAACTTGCTAGGCAAAGGACATTTCATAACGGCGGGGCTGAACGGCAAGTTGGTCTTCTGTACCAGGTCATCTATGACGGCAGGACCTTTTTCTTTCATAGCCTGCATTACATCTTCCATTTTTGTCTTAAGATCCTCGATCTGCAGGTCGAAATAGGTAACTTGCTATGTCTTTTCCTTGACACAGAAGGTTGTGTCTGTCCGAGACTAAGGATTCCGCGGAGGCGGAGTAGGAGGTTCTTTGTGTCGGTTTCCGATTTGGCTTTGTTCTGTCTCGAACTCGTGAGGAGGATCGTTTTCTCGGTCCTCCTCGTTTTCTCCCCAATCATTCAGATTGGGAAGATATGGGTCGGACAATTCTTGTTGAGGTGGTGGTCCAGCTGGGATAAGATGTTACAGGATCTTTGTATTTTGATGGATCAACTGGTGCATACCCTGATTCAGAGTTTAGACCTGTAACTCTAACGCTGCAAGCCGTTCCTGGTCATTCAGGACGTCTGGGTGTTCACCCGACATTTCTCTTTGACTGGATTTGTGATACCCCTGGATTTTTGAATGCGGGTTGGCCAGGCCCACGCCCGATTACCTGAGGATATCAAAACAAATTGATAATAAACGAACACATGGTACAAAATAATAAAGAAGAATAAATAAAATGCTGATAAGAAACTAAAATAATAATCTAATAATAAACCTCAGAATATGTTTCCATTAATTAATAAACTCTTCCGATACAACTGATCCTCCAAAATACAACTCGGGAATCCATACTGTGTGGACCCCTAGAAAGTCCAAACTAAACAAATGACAGTAATAACTGTCTAAATCAGGAAACTGAATCATAAAGGAACTCCTATGTAGCATCGGAAGAATGAAGTAGATTGATCCCTGCTCAGCACGAACAACCTCTACTCTTGACGAACACCTGAAAAATAATGGTGGGTCAGGCCCACAAACAAGTTCTACTCTACTACAGTCCAAGCAGAGATCCGATACACGTATACATCCTGGTCAATCCAACAATAACTAGTAGTCCGTATAAATATATATATATACACACACTAAAGGAACCTCACTAGCCTATAGGGTTGTCTCAACCTGAATAGTAGGCAACATGCAAAACGCACATATAGTGGGCATGAGTACCTAGACCTACCAGGGTACACAACTACACTATATCTAGCTACACATCCCTGGCGATATACGCGCCCTAACCACTGATCGTAAGACTCAAGCTCATGTCATGGTACCATACTTATATATATATAATTTAGTAACCATCATATCTAGTATAAATTATTCCTCCATAAGTCATTCAACTTATTCAGCTGACTTGACTTGAATATAAGTAGGACTTAACATTTTAGTTAATCCATTCCCTTATATAATAAATTAATCCTCTATGAGTCATTCAACTTGTTCAGTTGACCTGACTTGAATATAAGTAAGACTTAACATTTTAGTTAATCCATTCCCTTATATAAAATAGATAGGACTTAACTGATAAGTTAATTCGTCCCTAAAATGCCACCGTCCCATACCGGTGCATTAAACCACACAATCCAACAATTGATGTAACAATTAAGGAAATACATCAAACATTCCAGAAATAACTATGATAATATGATATCAAGTTATCACATAATAGGAATGACTTATTATTTATTTAAGCTTCCTATATCATATGTCCTACATAAACTGAATCTTATACATGATGATATTTTATTATACCGTTAAATAAACATTCTTCATATCCAATTCATCCTACACATTTAATCTCAATTGTTAAAACATTTTTAAAAGATTAAATCCATTTGTTTATTTAAGACATTCAAATAGAAAGCAACACTATGATTGAGTCTATTTAAATTTATTTAAACCCCAAACCTAGTTCCTATTTAATGTTCAGGAATCCTAGGCATGTTTTTACGTTCCATCATTCCACAGATATGAAAAAATACATAATGTAAACATATAGAAATTCACACAGGAAATAAAATCAAAATCATGCATTTATCAATTCATAACACAAGAACAAATATGAACCAATTTCATAAAACCTATATTCTAATCCAATTAAACATGCATAATTATTTAATTTTATGTGTTTAATAAATCCTGAAATTTCCTAGGCATGCATAGAAACACGAATCAAAGGGAAAAAGATAGAAGAAGAACTTGCCTTAAACTTTCGGATCGAAAGTTAAACTTCTTCTTCCTTGATCTTCTCTCTACAGGGTTTTTCTCCTCCTTCCTTTCTTTTCCTCCTTCCCTCTCTAACTCTTTCTCTCTAGAATATATCACGTGAATATTTTTATCCCCTTTTACAACCTATAGCTATATATTTATAGGTTAAATAAAATAACCCTAACCCTTTTCCCAATCCAAGACAACTTAAAAAAAATAAATATTAAAATATTAAAAAGGTAAGTAAAATATGTTACGTATATAATTTATGTATATCTTTATTAAATAAATAAATTATACACATCCCATTATTTATTAATGGACTATCTAATAATACCTAAGTTACCATAATATTATAAAGTAACATAACACAACACGTATCAAAACTATGTATATTTTATACATCAGATTAAATATTACTAACCAAGTCACCATAAAAGTAATTAATAAATTACTTTCCCTTTTATATATATTAAAAAGGTAAGTAAAATATGTTACGTATATAATTTATGTATATGTTTATTAAATAAATGAATTATACACATTCCATTATTTATTAATGGATTATCCAATAATACTTAAGTTATCATAATATTATAAAGTAACTTAAAACATAACACGTATCAAATCTATGTATATTTTTATTATTTAAATATCAAACATATACATCAGATTAAATATTATTACCCAAGTTACCATAAAAGTAATTAATAAATTACTTTCCTTTTTATATATGTATATAATATATATTTATATATATACATACACAACTATCCATGGGTAATAATCCATACACATCAAACCTCCTATTCAAGTAATACATGGGACCCAATTGGTTGGCCCATTACTACTAACCATAACCATAAAAGAAAAATAAAATAAAATAATAAAAGAAAATAAAATATTTAATTTATAATTAATCAAAATACCATTTAAGCACATAATCTAATTAAACAATTAACACATAGACAAATACAAATAATACATAGACACATAATCAAAAAATCAAGTAATACCTAATTCAATTAAACACATAAGCAATTAGTCAAATAATCAATTAAATAGTTAAAAAATACAATTAAAATAAATAAATAAATACCGAGACTATCCTTTTAAAATCAGGGGTATTACAGGATTCCTGCAACGATGTTTCTTTTCCAGTTACCATATCGGACCGCAAGTGCATATACTCAACTGAGTAATTTATTGATTTAAGGGAATCGTCGTTTCCCACAGATGGCGCCAACTGTTGGGGGAGAAATCCACGCGGTCCGATACGACACCGTTTTTCTTGAAAAAAAGAGAGTAGAAGATCGATGAAATTTGACGGCACCGGTGTGGTGCCTGTCAAGAGCTCTCCGACGATCAAGTCCGTTACCAGAGGTCTAAAAGAAAGGTATGGATTTAATAATCATTTTTTTTCGTACTTTTATTGACTTGTATGATCTCATTCTTATAGCTGCTTTCTCTTAGTTCAATTGCGAGATCATAGGAGATCGTCTGTTGCCAGATTTGTCAGGGATATGATTTACTCCTTTGACTTTCTCAAATTGTGTCAGAGTTATCCTTACCCTGTTGAACCACGTCATCTTTCATTATCTTGTCATTATTCTGGATAAGAAATGTCATTATTATTATCCAATGGAAATCTTTATCTTTGATAACGAAATATTATCCTTCGAAAGGACAAGAGGTCTAGCAGCGGGTCAACACTTAGTTGCCTCTATTTTTAGGTCAAAGTAGGTTTATTTTTTCCTATCAAGGGTAAAATGGTGTTTTTTGCATTACAAAACTAGATTATTTGCAAGCACCAAGGGAAAAAGAAAATATTAAATAAGTTATTTGCAAGCACCAAAAGGCTTCGTTTGGTCAGATTAAAACAAGAAGAAAATAAAGGAAGTGATTTATTTATTTCTTGAACAATTCAGGAGTTTGCCTAGCAAGAAAAGAAAAAAGAAAGTGAAAAAATTACTTTGTAAAACCTCTTAACTTTCCTTTAAAATGATCCTATTTTTGATTTTTTGAGAAAATTTTATTAACTTACAATAATACCTTTCATTTTATGGTAAGTTTAATGTTATTAAAATTAAAAAATAATAATTTTACATATTTTTCTTTAAAAAATTTATTCTAAACAACAAAAAAAGTTATTTTATTGTTATATTAAATTTTCATCTAACTAAAGGGAAAAACAGAAAAAAGGGAAAACATATTAAATAAACCTAGTCGCAAGAGAAAAAGAGGGGAAAAATATTAAATAAACCTATTTGCAAGAGAAAAGGAGGGAAAAAAATATTAAATAAACCTATTCGCATATCCAGTATATTCAACCCGACCCAACCGTGAAAAAGAACCGAACTAGTCCGCTCCATCTGGTAGAAGGCAGCCTATATCTTTCTTTTATTTTCGCATCCCTCTCATTCCTCCCCTTCTCTCTCTCTTCGACAGCTCTTGTCTCAGAACTGCGGCGAAGAACGGCTGAGCTCAACAGAAACCCTATCTCTCAGCACAATGAACTGTTCAAGTATATCTAACTTTGTGTATATATATATGTGTGTGTGTCTTATATACATTCACCCACACACACAAACTCACTTGGCACATCCTATTCTAGTTGTTGTCTGATCTCTTGCTCTTACTCTTGTCCGTACAGTCTCCGGTGAGGTGCCGGAAGAGCCGGTTGTTTCAAAGAAGTCCGGGTTACTGTACGAGAAGCGATTAATCGAAAGACATATATCAGTATGTATCTCTCTTTTTTTTTTCTAGGGTTTTTCTTTTTAATGCGCGTTTCTTGATTATTGCTTTGTTTGATTACTGAGAAAACCGTATAACTCATAGAGTCATAGGTCTCAGCTTATTATGCTATCTGGATTTTATTCCTATATATATTTATTTTTTGTTTTTTTGGGTAATTATTAAGAACTTTAAATCAAACTTCTATTTAGAAAGCAACATTTGTAAAATTCAACACCTTACACATTATCTGATAAATTTTTGGGTTAAAACCCGGTTAACAATTCGGTGAATGTATGTCATAAAATGAAAAAAAAAAAATCAAAATTGTTTCCTTTGTTTTAACAGTTTTTTTGGTTAGCAAACACAGGGTTCGGTTTTATATGCATCTGTTCCCTATATATGCATTTTTTATTTTCTTTTTTCCCATATGTTTCTTTTAACTTGTATTTATTTTTGTGTGAATTTAAACCATCTATTTGATAGAACGCTGCCTTTTTGTTTGTTTGTTTTAATTAGGATTATGGAAAATGCCCTATTACCGGGGAGCCTTTAAATATGGATGACATTGTTCCAATCAAGACCGGCAAGGTATTATACAGTTTTATATTTGTAATCGTACTTTCATACATTCTTGTTAGAAGTGCTTTCGGTTCATAAATATGGGATGTTAAACTTACTTTCACTGAAATTTTGATGCAGATAGTGAAGCCAAGACCAGTACAAGCTGCAAGCATTCCTGGGATGCTTGGAATGTTCCAGATTGTATGTGTTTCTTTTTCTTTATTGCTGCATATAATTTTTTGTCAATACAAAAACCTAAATTTCTTGGCAAATTTCCTGGAAACATCATAAATTTTACACCCGAAGGTCATTGATCCATCCAACCTATGATTCATCGTCACCATATTGCAACTTTTTTTATTTTGGTGGATGGAGTCATGGTCTTGATCGTTCTAATCTGGTTGTTTGCACTCTCCACGCACACATGATGTTTTGGATAAAATACTAAGTTTAACCTCGTTCTCTTTTCTATATTTATATTGGGCATAATGTTTTATTTTCTACACTACTCAATGAGTCTTTAGGACATAATCAAAAGATGTCTATGCTTCAAACTTTGAATAGGACAAATTGGACTATAATGACAATAAATTGGTCCCTTTTGTTTATTAGAAGTCCAGGAAACTCAACTAAACTGAACTCACAGATCCTTTTCCCTACTATTATGGGTTGGGTTACATGCATTGTTTGCCTATCTGTGCTATTTAAGGCCATTGCCTTGGTCTAACCACATGCTACCATATCTTTCCTAACTATCTCAATCCATGCCTTGACATTACCCTCAACAAGGATCATGCCACTTTTCCTAACCAATGCAACTATTTGCCGTCATTGATTCACTGCACATAGGAAAACCATCCTAATTAATTCTCTCTTATTTTATCTCCAATTGGCGCTACTACAACCGTTTCATGAATGCGTCTATATATAAATTTATACCTTCTGTCTTCTATAGTCGTATTTCAAACCAGTAAATAGTTACAACTACATGCTAGCATTATAGCAACCCAGGATAACATATTTGCGATAGAAAACATGATATGCTTTTGGTCTATAAAACTAAATACGTTGTTCCCATTTTTTGCTTACTTATAGAATACCTAATTGCAAGACAATAGAAATATGAATGAGTGATTTCCCAGGAGGATGTAAGTGTTGGATCTTTGTCCAAGACCATAGCATTTTAAGGAAGTCATTCCTGCCACTTGGCCTGCTTTGATGTATACTTCTTTTGGGTCATGCAGTTTTAGGCACCAACAATGATAAGAAAGTGTTATTCATAAAAAAAAAATAAATAAAAAATAAAATAAAATGATAAGAATATGTTGGTTGTCTCTTTCATGATTATCGATATGAAACCTAATTTTGAAAGTAAATAAAAAATTAATGCATTTTAACTTTTAAGGATATTGTTATATATGCATGCGTATGTATAATCTTTTACGATTTTTCTTTTTGGTTGGTATGTTACACATGCGACTCACTCTTGTCCAACCAATGGGAACTTTTATTCTTGGATAAGTGTCAAACGAGAAGTTGAACTCTCAAGCTCATAGGAGTAGAAGATACCACTTGAGTTAAGGGCTTAGTGGTCATCCTCTATGAATTGGAAGAGAAAGATATGTACATTTGAATCATATTTTACATGTATTTTAAGGGTCAGCGTAGGTATATGTGCTTAAGTGTTGAATTTATTAAAATCCAAGGTCATGAGGATGTGCTTGAATATTTATTTTAGAATTTTATAGGATATAATGGTGTTTGTATGTGACACAGATTGTTCAACATGGTTAGTTATAAATATTGTGCATTATGACACTGCATTCTTTTTGAAACGACCATTTAACGAAAGGAATACACGGAGAGAAACTAAATTACTAGGCATACTTGCCATTTGCACGTCTGAGGATTGCTGGAGACTCACCACATGAGCACATAATGTTTTGTGTGTATGACAAGGGTATTTCAAACATTTAGAAGAGCCCATGTGAATGGTCAGAACTACCTATTACCTTTAAGCATCAAGAAATCTATATTAAGCTAATATAGCCATATTCGTTGTACTGCATTTGGTGGTGTGGCGTAACGACGTACCCTTTAGTGGGTTTTCATATAAGTGGGTTTTCATTCAAGTAGATCTTTGCAAGGCTTGATTTCTTTCACTATAGCTTTGGATGTCCTGAAAAGGCCATTTTGGTCCCCGTTAATTAACGGTGTTAGGAGAAGTGGACTAGAAGCAAGCCTTACTTTTAGCATTACTTGAAACAACTGGCTATTCTTAAACTTGAACTTGCGTCAGGTACTTGGTACGTCGAATTTTTATCACTGCACACAAGCAATGGCCCCTACTGTGGATCTCCTTTATCAATTATATTTGTCTAGGATTTTGGACTTAATAAATGCTTCTTATCAGTACCTTCTTATTCTCTGCTAATTGTTCTACTGGTTTCTTATTGCTTCTTAGTTTATTTTACCAAAAAATAAATAAATTCTGATATTCTTTTATAATAGGAATGGGATGGTCTGATGCTATCCAATTTTGCATTGGAGCAACAACTACATACAGCAAGGCAAGAACTAAGTCATTCTCTGTACCAGGTACTGACTAGCTTAAACATTCATTGTTGTTTGGGCCTTAAATAATCTGATTTAAGTACAGTAGGTCTAATATATAGTCCCGCCTGATTAAATTTTTTGTTGTTCATACTTTTTGTTGACCTTGGTGTTACACCATTTCACTTTTCCCTGGATAACATGGATCCCTTGGTTTTTTAGTAATCAATGTTCTGTAATTTCTGTTTACAGTCTGAGCAGTTTCTTAAATAACTTCTCAATGTTAATTTTTTATTTTATTTTAATTATACAGATAAGAACTCTATTAGCAATTTAATTGTAATCTCTCTTTTTATTTTATTTTTATTTATTTTAAAAAATATGGAAAAAAATATGAAGGTGCAACCAACTATATAAATCAAATCTATCCCTTGATGGAGCACAAAGAAAACTTATCTCTATTTATTTATTTATTTTTCTGAATAAACTAATTTCTATTAAATCTGATACTATACACAATCTTGACCTGAACAAGGCCTAGACAATGTGTTTTGTTTCAACTTCAGTCTCAATATCTCGTGATTTGATTTCTCCCTCTCTCCTCTTTCTCTCTCTGTCTCCCTCTCCCCTGGCTCTTGCTGTACTTTCCACTTCCTAAATATATCAAATATTCCACATAAAATAGTTCTTGATGCCCGATAATTGGCATCACCACTCATCTGCAATATCTTCAATAAACGAGCCAAACAATCTTAGAATGTGAAAAGAAGCTGGTCCATATCATTGAAGAATTTGAGATTTTTTTTTATAATTAATGGGTGCCTTGTGAAATATAAGTATCAATAAATAATTAGAAGCTCCGATAGCATTGTCCACCATCTGGCAGGCAATGCTTTAAACTCAGGAATTAGATAAAAAAACGGATAGGTTAAGAAGGATACAAGAGAAAATTTAGGACCTGTGATCAGCATGCAATTGCTGATAATTAAAGCATGTGATTAGTGGGATACGAAAAGCAGCTCAAGCTTACTTACAGAGTGCCAATGTTTTTAACCTTGTGAGCAGGATCCTGGGTTTATATATATATATATATATATACATCTCTCTCTCTCCCTCCCTCTCCCTCTCTCTCGTGTGTTTGTGTATGTGAGACAAATGGAGGGTACAAAAGTTCTGTTGGTACTTGATGGGGGTAAGGTGACAGCTTCAAAGCATTTGTTCACTAATTTATACTGATGATTATGGTTATATATCCATTGATAGTGATGTAGTAGTACCATCCCAAAAATAAGAACAGAAAAAAAAGGAGGAGTTGTGCTCAAATTAGGTTTCATGAACTATTAAAGCTCCTCAAATAAACAACCAAAACTTCAAGCTAAATGCACTGCAGACTTTAATATGTCCCTCATAGAAAAGCACCTCAAGCAAATTTGACTTTTGTGGAATTTGCTTAATTTATTTGTGTTCCCTACAGGTTGTGTTTGTAGGGTAAGCGCATCACTTCACTTCACTAGAGGAGCATTGAAGTGCTTGTTTTTAGGAGGATAGGTCATGATATGACAGTAAGTTTGTCAAAAAAAGGATTGTGAGCCTTATAAGATACTAAGTAGAAATTCCCATGGGAACAACATTGTGGCACTGGAGACGAACATATTAATTTCATCATTTATAGAGTTATGTAATGCTGTGGGAGAGTTAAACATGAAGGGGTTATGATTTCCAGATGCATTATATTTTATCTTTAATCTTTTTCCTAATATATGCCAGTTCAGTTTCTCATCTTCTTTTTCAATGGTTTCCTTTATCTTTTGCCTATTATGGAATAGATTCTCCATTTTATTTTCTTCTCAACTGAATGAATTTCGTTGTCAAATCTACCTGTCTTGTGTCAACAGCACGATGCCGCTTGCCGTGTAATTGCAAGACTAAAGAAAGAAAGGGATGATGCAAGATCCTTTCTGGCGCAGGCAGAAAGACAGATACCCATGTCAGCATCAGCAGTGCCTATTGCTAATGCTTCTGCTTTGAGCAATGGGAAAAGAGGTTGTTGCTTTGTATGCATGTAGGGTGATTCTATTTAAATTGCGCCTAGATTATATGATGGGTCATTTGTGTTCTATTAATGTCGTTGCAGCTGCTGATGATGACGAGATGGACTCTGGAGGAAAGAGAATCCGTCCAGGAATTTCTTCTAGCATAATTTCAGAGCTAACTGATTGTAATGCAGCACTCTCGCAGCAGCGGAAAAAGCGGCAGGTAATGTTTGTAATGATGTGTAAATACAGAGATTTATTAAATGAAGTCTTCATATTTTTCTTGGCAGTTTTTGTCATTTGCCTGTAATTAATCTTTTCTTTTACCATATATGTTGTCTGATTTCTTCTTCTTCTTTTTTTTTTTTTTTGGTTCTTTCTGTTGTGGGGTGTGTGTGTGGTTCTGGTCTTTTGTTTTTCTTTCCTCCCAGATTCCTCCAACGTTGGCTCCCATTGATGCTTTGGAGAGGTACACCCAACTCAATAGTTATCCACTTCACAAAACCAACAAACCTGGCATCTTATCTGTGGATATCCATTACACCAAGGTATGACATTAACCAATATGTAAACTGCATTCTCATGCATCTTTTATTTTTACCATTATAAAATGTACTGCCAATATTCGTTAAATCGCATGCATAGTTACGCGGGTTCTAATTGCAGATTCAATGTTGTGTCTTCTACTGTTAAGCTTATCCGGTCTCCAAATATTTGAATTACCATTTAGGATCCTATCTTGTGAACTTTTTCTGGCACTAGTGCATTAATGATTGTATTTGACATACATCACATTCAAGATGATTTTGATATGTTCCCTATCTGACATATATGTGAGGTATCTTACATTAATACTTCAAAACAATGAACCTGAATTTGACACGCATACATGTTTATTTCTGACATAGCAGGGATAATACATTAGGATTATCACTGTAATATAGGTTAAAGGACTAGGGAGAGTTGATTATATATACATTTGTGTACACATACACACGTTGAGTGTAGATTAAGAAGCACAAACACTTCTATAGAATTGCCATGTTGTGTTGGACACTAACACCAAGTGAACATTCCTAGATATGTTTTTGACACCTCGCAGATATGTCCATTATTAAAAAATAAGATTTACTATTTTAGACACTTCAACACATTTCATACACTCTAAAATTTAGTGGGTTCATTTTGACACTCTTGAAAACAAGATGAAGACAACCCTTTGTATATATGATATCATAATTTTTGTTATCATTTATTATCCAGTTTTGTCACGTTACATGGTTCTTCGTATTAATTCTGAAAATAGTCAGACTATGTATTTTATCTTATGTATAAGATGCATACATATTTATATATCATCGTGTCCATATCTTCTCCAAAATTTACCTTATTGGTGTTTCTGTGGTGTTTCCTGTGCTTGTCCCTTGTTTCTGTCCGTGTTACTAAATGTGTGTGTAAATATTAGACATATGGGGAATGCTGATGTCCCCATCAGTATATATTAGCCTTCTCCTGAAATATCAATGGTTAAAAATCTCCTTGCATGAGATCTTTTATAATAAAATGTGAAAGGATTTTACGTTTTAGATATTTATGCATTTACTTATTTAATTCTTATATAATAAGTCACAGCCGTATTATTCCCCATCCCCTCTCCAGTTCCCCAATACGGTCGGAATCTCTCTCCCCTTAAAACCATGTAAACCCTGCACAACCATTTGCAGACTCAATCGTTGAACCAGATAGTCACTGTTACCGCAGTTGTTGCGATCACCCATTCTCATCTATTCATATCTTAAAATAAGAAGAGAGCTTTGGCGTCTTGATTTTGGAGTCGCACTGGTGATCATTATAAGTGGGGACCTTCAATCACCTGTACATTGACATCAATCATTTGCTCTCTTTGGACATTGATACTGGAGCACCATCTTTGAAATTTCATGATGACAAGTCACTAACAATAACAGAGCTCCTTCCTGAAATAGTCAAATGGTGAGAGAAAGTCAACCATGCTAATGTCATTGATTGAACATTAGGCAGATTGGATGACGAGGAGTTCCAGGGACTTAGTTAATGAAATTCCTCCCAGTAAATCGGTGAGAGAACATGTGAAAGAGGACAAGATCTGCCACATTGGACCGGTCAATTGGGAGCATACAATATATTGAGAGGGATGGAGAAGATCACAGAAAGCATACCCCTATAAGGCTCTAAAGAAATCGAAGTTATCTGAAACAAATTAGTCTAGTAAAATTGGGGAACTTGTTAGTGACATCCATTGTAGGCGAGGTTAGCATACCCTTGAGAATATACACATATATGTACCTTCACAAAATATAGTGCAATTTTCCAAACAAAATCAATTATGCTTACTTCGCATTATTTATGGCTAATAATTAACTCAATTACAGGGCATGGTATAAATTGAAAAATGACAACTGAGAAATAGAGATGTTATATTTTGCTAATTGCTAAAGCTATAACAGAGCATACAGGTTTAATCATTTTAAATGATGATGTTATATTCTAATTGGTTGGATGTTTAGGTATATGCCTAATCTGACAATAATTTAATCCTAATAGAGTGATAAATTCAATGAATCTTTGTGCTGTACTTTTTGACTTGGATTACTTATCTGGTCCACATGTTTGACATGCAATACAGACCACTTGTATAAGAGAACACTGCATGTCTGGAAGATAATTGAAGTTTGATCTAAGTGTTCAATAATCTTTCTTTTTCATTTCAGTCATTTCAATTTTCCAATTTCTGTTTGAGATTTTCAGTAGACTATGTTGGAGTTCCAAACAATATTTTATGTGCCAGATTTATTTATTTATTTTCGATTTTCATTAGACTATGTTGCATTTCTTCTTTGTTTTGTCAGGATATAATTGCAACCGGCGGGGTTGATACAAATGCTGTACTCTTTGATCGACCTTCAGGAGAGATTTTATCGACACTCAGTGGTCATTCAAAGAAGGTTTTGTCCTTTATTTAAATGGTGGTGTTTTGTCTCCTATGTAGAATCTATTGACCAATCAATTGCATTTTAATTTGATAGGTTACCAGTGTCAAATTTGTAACTCAGGGTGATTTGGTTGTTACTGGTTCAGCAGATAAGGTAAGCCAGGGTCATTTCCATTTTGCGTCAAATCTAAACTTTCTTTTCCTTTGCCGCCTTTATGTTCTGTTTGTTTATTTGCTGTCTCCTTCAGCCTCCTTTGATTTTGTTACGTTCTGTTGGAAATGCATGCTGGGTCCATGACTTTTAGGTATACATGGACTATTTTTAATACAAGATGTTATAGAGCTTATATCTAGACATTACTGTAATTTCCTTCACTCCATTATTTAGCAAAGGAGTGCATCCTTTATTTATTAGCTGGACACAGAATCAGCTAGACTTAGTTGGAAAGCGAGATTGGGAATTGAATGGCTGTTGCAATGTGTATGCAATGGAGTGATTTTTTTTTTTAAAAATATCTGGAAAATGGAGTTCTTTTGGTTCTACTGGTCTCACAATAAAGTTTATGTCAATAGGCTTATGGAATAGAATACCAACCTAAACAAAGGCTTGTAAGCATCTTCTGCTCATCTCTTTATGCAGTTGGTGGTGGATATACATATATGTGTGTATATACAATATATACACTTTTGATGGGCTTCATATTTATCTATGGTGCTTGCACTCACTTGTACATATGCATAAATGAAGGTTATTATAGATGTTGCATTGGTCTGCTTATGGGGCTGTGCTGCAAGCTCACTGGAATAATGAATTTTTGGACTTGTAAATTTTATTTGAAGTAAAAATTGAAGAGTTACTCTTATTCAACATTCCATAATCATTATCTTGTGTTGTTTTCTTGCTTAGGTATATATCGGTTCAACTTGATTTTATTTTCTGTCTAACAAATTGATTCTATTACTGTAATTAAATTTAATGGTCTATAAGAAGTATTAAATTTTTGATTATATATCCATACAACTTGTGTTTCCCATTGAATTCTAGCTTTTGAATGTATACATATATAACTAGATTTGTTTCCCTTTGAATTATACAAAGTAGTACTTTCAACCCCATATTCAATTCTGTATTTCAGAGTGTGCGTATATGGCAAGGATCTGAAAATGGGAACTACGATTGTAGGCACATCTTGAAGGATCATACTGCAGAGGTAAGTAATATGTTTCAATCTGAACTATTCATGATTTAATAATTGGTGATTGTTCTGAAAATCACAGGCATTTTTTGTTTTATTGTAATTTTTAGGTATTATGCTTTTAGTTCTTGTCATGATTTTGATAAATATTTCTAAAATGTTCTACATTCATGTTCATCGCTGTAAATTCACACCTCCACATGCGCTGAGATCATTTCAGCCTGATCCTGAAAAAAAAAGAAGAGGAATTACCCAAGCCATGTATTTGAGCATGTGACATCTTTTAAAAAGACTTCAAGGGTAATCATTTATGTAATTGATTGTAGAATATTTCAATTAACAATTCCTTTATTGTTATTTGAGACAATATTTTTAGAAAAAAATTCATCCTCTATTTGCCGAATGCTTCATTTTAATTTAAAATTTTCTATTCCCCTTCTTTAACACTCAGGGTGCGTTTGGTTAGATAGAACTAGCAAGAAAGGAAAAGAATCAGAAAATTTATAAATTTTTTGTCCGTTTGCTTAGGATGAAACGTAAAATTTTCAGGAAACTGGAATTCCGCAAGTAGCTAATTTTGTCTAAAACGATTCCTCTATAAAACATGTGAAATTTTTTGTTACAGTTATATTTTAAATTCCTATTATACCCATAATTGTCATTGGTTATCTTTTTTCCCATTTTTCACATAGGTATATTTGTATTTTTTTTTTTTCCCAAACGTACATAAACTCATGAAGCTGGTGAGATCTTCTTTTCAGCTTTACTTTCTTTCTTTCTTTATATATATATTTTTATCTTGCATACAAAATTGATGCTTTATTCTTTTTCATCTCAACCCCCCCCCCCCCCCCTCTTCCTATATATATATATATATATATATAGCATATGGTGGGTATTTTCTAAATGCATTATATAATATATACAATGTGTATATACATACATATCAACTAGGTTTTAGAATTTGGATATTAGAGTTATTATAAGTTCTAGGGAATATATATGCTCTTCGGAAAGAATAATACAAAAATGTTCCATAGTTATATAATTCTAATAGAATTTAAAAAGAAAACCCCTCATAAACTTGGTTGTCATATAGTATATGTAAAATTCTATTAGTTATTCTAATGGAAACAAACCTCTAGTGGAACAATCCTAATCCTATTCGATTTCATCAAAGTCCTTACAATCACTATATAAATTGTAATGTCCAAAAATATAATAAAAAAATGTTACAATATTTTTGAGTAAAGAAATTCAGGTGACTTGGTGTCTCATACAAGTTATGAATACTATTATCAGTAATCTATCCAAAAAAAAATGAATACTATTATCAATAACAACAAAATTTGATGCATGAATTAATTTTACACAATTTTTTTTTTTAATATTTGAAATTATAAGGGTGATTTTGGCAAGTATGATCATTTTCTTCTCTTTCATTCTATCCAAATGAACAACATAATATTTTCTCACAACTTTCTTGAAAAAATTTCATACTAACCAAATGCACCATGGAAACTTAATTTTATTTTCCCTCACTTCACTTTCTTTCACTTTCACTTTCACTTTCCCCCATCTATTTCCGTCTAATCAAACGGACCCTCAAGGAACATCTATTTAGGAGTCTTCATGTAGCTTTCTTAGAGATCCTGGAAATATATTGAGATTGAAAAAGGGGGGCACACCAAAATTAATTAATCCTGCGGCTTGTTTCGTTGTTATCATGTTATGACATGTGGTATTTATTTTCTTCCTTTATATCTCTTTTGAAAATTCTTTACTTAGTTCAACTAAAATTCTGAATAGATCTCTTGGTCATATTTTTAGTGTCCAAAAAATGTCCCTACGAACTAGGGATCGCAATTTGTACCGTCCCGTTAAATACGGGTATGGGAACCATTTTTATACCGTAAGGGGGGGTATGGGTACAATATTGAAACCCATCGCGGGTCAGGGGGTGGGGACGGGTTCTGATAAATATCCGCCCGCCCTGACCCGCTCCACCTTATATTACAATATCTATATATATATATATATTAATTATATATATATATACATACATGTTATAAGTTATAACCCTAAAGTAACACCCTCAGGTCTGCCGCCTCACTCCTAACTCCTCAGTATTGAAAACCACACAAAAGTTCTCTCTAACCTCTCTCATCGCTTGCTGCCGCCTCACTCCTCAGTATCAAAGACCAAACAAAACTTCTCTCTCTAACCTCTCATCTCCTCCATCACCAAACTAGACCTGCAACTAAATCCATTTGGGTGAATGATTTAATTTTGCAACTCGGCCCAACCAAGTACTGAATAAATCGACTCCAAGTTTACCATCGTTATTTTTTTCATCTCTGTTTGCGACGCCTCGTTCCCCCTTCTATCTTCTCTGTGTGATCCCAACTCACAACTGAGGCTGTGACCCACCACCAGCGCCGGAGGCTGACGACAGAGCTAAACGATCTGTTTGGAGTCACCACTTAGGCAGTCGAGATCGACAGATGTCTTCGTCTCTATCGCCCCCACTCTTCATCTCTTTCTTCTGTACGCCTTTTTTTTTTTTAATTTAATCGAAATTTTCAAAGATTTGCTTTATAAAGAGATTTATTTAGTATATTTTGGGTCTGAGCATTCTTATTCAGTTATTTATTTTTCTATATATTCAATTTTTTCTCTCTGCCATTTTAGATTTTAGGGTTTTCAAGGATTTTTGGTCAATGATGTTCTCTCTGCCATTAACTGTGAGCCTGTGATCTGTGATCACCACATGGATTAAGTCGAAATAATAATAATAAATAATGGGGCAGGCACGGGAACAGACACAATCCTCTCCCAACGGTGCGGGGATGGATTGTGAAAATTCAACCAGTCCCGGACACTGGGCGGGGACGGGTTTAGGCAAACCTGCCCGGTTGCCATCCCTACTACGAACCAAACACCATTGACAAATAACATAACTGACAATTGTCTAAACTTTACCCTTTTCTTCATCCCGTGTCTCTTATGTCAACTTCTCAGATTTCAGCAATTTACACAGAAGTTAAAAACTGTCTGGTTCAGTGCATGGATGATGGGCAAGTTAAAACATTCTTAATGCTAATACTCTGCATTTAAGCCTTACTTTAGTCTTCATGAGGAGACAAAAAAGCATTGGTAGACAGTGTGCAACAATGCCGTGGTGGGAACAACAATAAAACTTTCTATATGTATAGTGAGGTGTTTTGCGCACACCTTTGAGTTGGTGACTGAATATTTTTGTCCTAAAGTTCTGGAGGATGGGAAATTATTACATGGTCCCTGGACCATTGGTCCTGACCAATCACTAACTGACACTCAAGCAGAAAACTGAATAAAGCTGACACATTTGCTTGTGTCAGCTAGTGATTGGCCCAGGACCATTTAATAATATTTCCTGGAGGACAAGCTTATCATTCTCAACATTTGCACTAAAAGAAACAGATTCTGTTACTCAAAGTATTTGTTTGCTCCTTATATAATTTAGCTCTATGTATAACTGATCGTTCTGTAGTTCCAATTTATGTATGGCTGGTTCAGAATGATATGCATATCAACTCTTGACAGGTGCAAGCTGTCACCGTCCATGCCACCAATAACTACTTTGTGACTGCTTCTCTTGATAGCACATGGTGCTTCTACGATCTTTCATCTGGTTTATGCCTCTCACAGGTTTGACCTCTCTATCTATCTCTCTTGTCTCACTCACGTGCTTCCCTTCATTACTTCTGGACTGGGTCATTTGTATGATTTTCTGCAGGTTCCAGATGCTTCGAGTTCTGAGGGTTATACATCTGCTGCTTTTCATCCTGATGGTCTCATTTTGGGAACAGGTACCTCAGGATCACTGGTTAAAATTTGGGATGTAAAAAGTCAGGTACAATTCTATTTTTGGCAGGTCTATCCGTGATGTTTTCAAATTTGTCTTGCCATTCCACAGTTTTTTATTGATTTGCAGGCAAATGTAGCAAGATTTGATGGGCATGTCGGTGCAGTAACTGCCATATCATTCTCAGAAAATGGCTACTTCCTAGCAGTACGTGTTTCTTTAACAAAAAATGCAACAATATAGAGATAATTAAACATGCAGAATTCTGATTTATGTTGCTACTCATCAGACTGCAGCTCATGATGGTGTTAAGCTGTGGGATCTACGCAAACTGAGGAACTTCCGGACCTTTACGCCATATGATGAAAGTACACCAACACAATCTGGTATGAAAATATCTCCATGCCCAACTGAGTATCTCGTGGCCCTTTGTTGAAAACCAGTAGTAACAAACCATATTGTTGGAGTAAATTATCTTTTTATTTAAGTGGGGAAAAGCTTGAATTCTTGACTCTCCCTCACCCCCTCCCCTTTGGAGTGGTTTTTCTAATTTTTGGTTTATGTGGGGTTGGGGAGTGTTTACCTATTTATTGTATCTGTAATCAAAAGGAGATCGTATTCGTATGGTTTACTTCTTCAGTTTTACTTGCAGTGGAAATATAACTAAGCTGATTGCTAGCTCTATTCTTGGTGTTTTTTACAGTGGAATTTGACCATAGCGGAAGTTACCTTGCACTTGCTGGCTCAGATATAAGGTGTGCTTTTGAATAAACTTCATACTGTTGGGTTTAGTTACTTTAGTACAAGACACTAAGATGGAAATTAGTTTACACTTTACAAACCCTAGTTTTTATTCTTTCCTCTAATCCCCAGATCTTTTGCATCTATATTCTCTGATTACAACACCTGCCTTTTCTCTACCCTGACTCGAGCTTGATTGGTACTGCAGGGTTTATCAAGTTGCAAATGTCAAGTCTGAATGGAATTGTATCAAAACCTTCCCTGATTTGTCTGGCACAGGTCCTCTGTCCCATTCTCTCTCTCTCTCTCTCTCTCACACACACACACACACACACACACAGTCACACACATGTTACCTTTATCCTTCGTCTCAAGTCTAAACATCAGTGTTGCTTTCTGTTCATATGTTAAAGTTCATTGATGTATACTTCATGATTGTGTAGGCAAAGCAACTTGTGCAAAATTTGGTCCAGATGCAAAATATATTGCCGTTGGATCAATGGATCGCAATCTCCGCATATTTGGCCTTCCAGGGGAGGATGGTCCTTTAGAGTCTTAGTGCCTCTACGTCAACCCTAGTCAGTGGAACTTGTGATATTTCCTGTAATCTGCTACTGCAGCATCAAGTGTATTTTATGGGCTGAAGAGAGTTTTTGGAGTCTCCTGTTTATCATATCTACCTATTTGCTTAGGCTTAATTCTTCCATTCCAAGATGATGATGAAGGGCAACCAAGCCAGTGTAACCAATGGGAATTTGCAGCAGCATCCTTAGGCGTCGTCGGCAGTTGAATCAAGAAGTTGGAGGCAATATGTATCACTAGTATCATCAAAGTTCTCTCATTTTCATTTTGTCACACTGCAATTCAATTTGCCCTGAGAAGAAGAGTCGTTGGGTTACGATAGCCGGTTAAACTGCAGCATCTGGTGATGATATGGTGACTTGTTCTATATTAAGATCCGTTACTTTTTTAAACACCATCCTAGCATATGTAATTGATACATTAATTTGAGTGCTCACATATTTATTTTTATCGGATTTTTTAATAGCTAGTAAATGGCAGTTTTGTGATGCTCGAGAGATATTTAGGTTTCATATAACATGCCTCTGACGGGAGATCCACTACCAAATGAAATATGTTTGCAGCCTCCTCCCCACTCAAATATATATAGCTAAAGTGGAACTCCTAGTGAACAAAATGGTAGTACTGCCTTGTTGGACAAACCCTTCTTCCTTGCGCAGACGTTGAAACCATATACCAATTGCATCCTCATCAGCCATTGGAGCTTCAAGAAGCTACCATCAGATCTTTAGGTAACAACTGAAAAAGCCATAGCTACAAAAGGTTAAGGCTATTTAAAATAACGAATCATTTTTTTTTTTTTTTTTCCTTTTTCTCCCTTCTTTTCTTTTTACCAGAGAAATCTTGATATATTCTCTTTACCAAGTTCGAAACTTTGATCCGGTCTTTTCTATGTAACAGTCTCGAAACCTTAATTTTGGAACAATATTCGAGGGGGAGTTAATTATTTTTTTTGAATGAAGGCAATGAGGTAATATAGGTGTAAAAAAAAGTGAAGAGGCTTCCCTATCTATTTCCTTTTCCTTCTTGTCCTGACTCCTAACCAATAATGAAACCTTATCTCGTACCTTTCTTAAAAGAGTTAATTTTTTTTTAATGATGTACAAGCACATTAGATATGATGACTTTCCAAATCAGTTAAAATGACTTGTAACCTTACTTCGAGTAAGAAAAAAGGTTTAAAAAAATAGAGAGTTTGATCGAAATTATAGCAAGTTATTAAAAAATGATTTTACTTTACCATTCATATGAGAAGGAATCAACTTAAGACTTTGCTTACCTTCAGAAAAAAAAAATACAAAACTTAAGACTTTGCTTGAGCTTTAAATCAATTCAACATGCAAGTTTTAAATACGAAAACAAGCTCATACCATGTTGACCTCAAAGTCCAAAATTTTAGCCAAAAACAGCTCTCGAAATTAATGAGTATCACACATTTCCTGCATTTCATTCACTCATGAAAATGATGGTCAAAAGGTGGAAACAAAACTCACACCTTCCTTCAAATTCAAACTGACTCAGAATGTAATGTAAGCATGTTCAAACTTCAAACAAACCTTTCCACAAAATCAGATTCCAATAACTCCCCAGTCCCCCCTTCCCTCTCTCTCTCTCAAACACACACAAAGACCTAGAGAATATTTCTTTTTACTTTTTTCAATTATTTTATTTAAACATTTTGTTCTCATTCTCTTCAAATAGTATTTAAAAATTTATAATTTTAAATAAAACCAATAGATAACCATGGCATAGATATATTATTTTATTACTTCATTGCCATACGTACATTATACACATCCTGTAAAGAATTAGAGAGAGAAAAAGATGCCCTCCTCATAGCTGCACATCGCCACATCCAGAGGTACTAGCCATCCAAAAAGAAAGCAAAACCCAAATACACCACTGGACCAAACTCCAAAAACCCAAACCTTTTCCGAGTTAAAAGAAGCAAAAATCAAAGGTACCCTTCAATCTTTTCTCATTTTCATCCAAAACCCATCTCTCAAAAACCCCCCAAAATCTCGAAAAACCAGCAAACATCGAAGGTACCAAACACAACCCTTCAATCTTTTCTCATTTTCATCCAAAACCAATCTCTCAAAACCCCCCAAAAATCTCAAAAAACCAGCAATGATTTGATCCTTCATCAACCCCTCCAAATGGGTTTAGCCACAAAACCCTTTTGCCTCCTCTCTCTGTTTCTGGTGCTCATCCCACTATCTGAACCTGCATCTGATTTCACCAACTTGGTCTACAAGGGTTGTGCAAAGCAGGCTTTGGCAGATCCAACTGGGGTTTACTCACAATTCCTTTCCACCATTTTTGGGTCTTTGATTCAACAGTCCTCCAAAGCCAAGTTCTTCAAGACCACCTCTGGTAGTGGCCAAACCTCTGTCACTGGTCTCTTCCAGTGTAGAGGTGACCTGAGCAATGTTGACTGCTACAACTGTGTGAGCAAGCTACCAATTCTCATTGACAAGCTCTGTGGCAAGCAAGTTGCTGCAAGAATCCAACTTTCTGGTTGCTATATGCTGTATGAAGTCTCTGGTTTTACTCAAATCTCTGGTATGGAGATGCTGTACAAGACTTGTGGTGGAACAAATGTTGCAGGGAGTGGGTTTGAGGAGCGAAGAGACACGGCGTTTTCGACGTTGGAGAGTGGTGTGGTGAGTGGCAATGGGTTCTACACAACAAGCTATGAAGCTGTGTATGTGTTGGGGCAATGTGAGGGTGATTTGGGGTCTGCTGATTGTGGTAACTGTGTGACAAGTGCTGTCCAGAGAGCTCAGGCTGAATGCGGAGCTTCCATTTCAGGCCAAGTCTATCTTCACAAGTGTTTTATTAGCTATAGTTACTATCCAAATGGGGTGCCCAGAAGATCTTCTTCATCATCTGAATCTGAATCTTCTTCATCAGGTAAAGATTGAAAGAAAATTTGCAAAACTTAAGGTTTAGAGTGATAGGCCACTGAAAACTGCTTTTCATTTCAAAGCACTTTCATTTGTCTAACTTAGATTAGTGGTCTCTCTCTTTAAACTTGTTTTGAGTGGTTGAAAATCTTTGTCAAACTTTGATTAGTGCTCTCTCTCTCTCTCTCTCTCTAAACTTGTTTGTATTTGATTGATGTAGGGACAGGGCAAAATACAGGGAAGACAGTAGCAATTATATTAGGAGGGGCAGCAGGAGTAGGGTTTCTAGTCATTTGTTTGCTGTTTGCTAGAAATTTAATGAAGAAACATGATGGTAAGTGTATATATATAGACAATTAGAACGATGATTTATTGCTATTTATTTATTCTTATGCTTTTTTTCTTGCAGATTTTTGAAAGGAGGAGAAGGGTTAAAAAAGACCAAAGTTCTTTTTCAGGTGTATTCTTTCCTTATATTATTTTCTTTTCAAAGAGGATAAATGGTTTTTGTGGTGGGGAGAGAAAAAGGAGGAGGTAATTATGGGAAATTTTTGTCATAGGTGGGTAAGAATTTGTTTGGAAGATAAGAAAGTGGGAGCGTGAAAGTAAGAATGAATTTGCTTTAATTTCAAGAATGAATGTTTGTCATTTTGGAATGGCGAAATAGATGGGAAAGTGGTAGTGAGTTTTGTGCCTTCTTTTTTCTCATTGCCATGTGATTGTTTGTCTCTTTGCTTCCTTGTCCAGAATAATTCTACTCTGTTTTCTTCACAACTTTTATGCTTTTTAGAAAGTATTCTCTCTCACACACACTCTCTCTCTATATAAATACACACGTATATGGATGTGTGTGCCCGTGTTCTCTTAACTAGGGTTTACAATGGGGCCTGCAAAGGCAGGCAAAAATTGTAACAACTTGACTTTGTTCAAAGGTATTGTTAATGCATTGTCCAATTAATGCATCTAGTCAAGAATGCATGCATTTCTTAAAGAGGGTCAAGCTCAGAAGGAAACCAGAAAAGAAAATAAAAGTTCGTTTTTTTATGGTATTTGTTACCATCAGAATTAATTAGGCAACGTGAACAGAGTTACCCTGCCAAGTCAAATCAACAAAAGTTATTATGCTAATAATATTTACCCTTGAAACTTGTGAATAAATCTCTATTATTACTCTGTTTACTATAAACATGCCAGTTCAATTAGCATTAGTTTTAAAACTGTTGTGTTGGCTTTTGTCATGAACATGTGCATTTTTGTATATTTACCTTGGCAACTCTGTCATAAACATTTACATTTTGCAAAGTTACATGGCATTGAATCAACCAATTACTTGGGTCCTTCCTTTGTATTTAAGGCCATAGCACCAGTCAATCCACGTGTTGTCATATCTTTCTTTACTAACTCTACTCAAAGTTAGTCTTTCTCTTTTCCTAATATTACCCTCAATGTAAAGCCAAATTCTCAGGGTATGACTATCCAAATAATCTACTAGTTAAGCTATCTGGTACCTTTGGCTTTGAAATTTAGCTCCAAGTGTTCTGATATTGTCAGGGGAAGGAGTGATTTGAGCATAGATGCAGATTTGCCCGCCAACTTTAGCAATAGCAAAACATCATATTCTCATCTTAGGGTTATGATCAAATGGTGGACATATAGTTGCCTCATCATGACTTAGATTGTGATCAGTTTAAAGAGTTGTTTTCATCATTTGTCTATTGCAGTTCATTCCTGAAATTCATTTCTTTGCTTCTTAAAAGGATTAGTGCTAGTGGGCAGCTTGATGCAGTTATCAAAACTTGGCAACATATCCCGATGTTGCCACATTCAAGCATAGGCTGATATTAGTGAATAAAATTCTAGTAGGTCTGTTCATTAAGAGAATTTGGTAGTGTTATATTTTTAAAAATAGGATGACTCTGTAATTTTCCCTCCCTTTTTCTTATATTTGCCTCTGGTGTTTGTGTGGTTCTGTTACTCTTTTAGTTATTCTTCAATTTGCTTGAAAATTTTTGTTAGCATTTTAGTGATGAAAAGGATCAAGATCAACTAAAATGTTTCTTTTAGATTATATTGTATATTCCTAGGGTTTAGGGTTTACCGTAGCCCCCTTCACCTACCCACTTGCCTTAATTAAATTACTTGTCCAACACTCACCTACTACTCCGTTACTCCCCTCTATATATAGGTGTAGGTGCTTTGTGTACATTGTAATTGACTTCAATTCATTACATATATACATTTCATATATTATCTCTTTCAACAGTCTCCCTTGTGATAGGATGTGTACTTTATTTTGCTTAAATTGAGGATTTTATGCTTTTGATTACAATGACTATGATGATGTGTTTCTACAGAAAAAAGAGAGTTTTGATCCTGACAGAGAGGAAGCTAATCTTTCCATTTACTTTCAAAGTGCCATGAAAGTTCATATATACTCATTATCACACCTGTTCAACTTCAAACTTAAAGGAATCTAAATTTCAGCTATTCAGACTAATTATTGGTATCTTTTTTCCTCTTTTCATTATTGATGTTTTGTCATAGTTCTAGGTAATCATATACATACATACATATACATATATATATAGGGGTAAAAATCATAAAACCCTTTGTACTGAAATTTATGCACAAGACCTCTTTTTACTAAGTAAACATGGTGAAATCTACTTTAACTTTTCAAAAAGTTTTCAAGTTACTTGCTTATTCGGTTTTTGACCAAAATGTTCATGTACATGCCCTTTTTCAGCTTTTAAATTAAAATTAAAACAGTAAAGTCAATTTGTCATTTCACTTAAAATGATCACTTTTATTGATAAGGAGATTATTGGATACTAAAGTCTAAAAGAGTTACATGATTACTTAAAATTATGATTTTATCCCTATATATTCACATTTCACACACGCAATTGTCGAAAAGAAAAAAAGTCATTGCAATCAAAAGCAAGAATAGCAATTTGGTCATGACACTGCCAAATGACACTGCCACTTCAACTTTTCAAAGCACTAACGACCTATTGAGATTATCCCCACCCCAAAACCAAATAAATAAATAAATAAATAAATAATAGAAAGATAAATATATACAGATATACTACTTTCTTGCTCTTCAATATTATATAATTAAGTATTATTTAATCAGTTACATCTCTTTCCATCAAATCGATACAGCCAATATATGTGATAATAAATAAACAAATGCATTGAAATGATCATATACTCCAATCAGTATATGTGCTGGCATTATCAATTGGTAGCGTGAATATAATAACTCAAAAGTTTATATTGTACAGATATTTTTATAAGAATGGAAATTCTATATACACAGTTCACACACATATGTGTGTATATATGTTTTGCAGATATGGACAATTTAGAGGTGCTCATGACCCTATACTCTATAAAATTATACATGTCCTTAAAAGTCACTTTCTAAATCTTCAAACCAAACAAATACTTAGATTTTTATTTTTTTATTTTTTCCTAAACAAGTACTAGATCATTAATTATTATAATTCCTAAAGTCTAAAGATTAACCATTAAAGCTTGAGTAGGCTCAATGGCTTGTGTGCCCTTTTTATCCTTCTTGTCAATAACCAAGGTTGCAAAGCTTGTCTTCCCCATTTATTTTTATTTTTTTTTATTTTGAAAAAAAAAAAAAAACACTACATTTGAGGACTTTGCATTAAAATCAAGTTAAAGCAATCAAAACATGACTTCTCTAATATTGTTAATAAAAATAAAAAGAGTTGGTTCACACCACAAAATACAAATTTGATCATAAATATTTGCAACATCATTCGAGTTATTATTTTTTAAGCTGCTTGTATTTGTCAATTCACATTATCAAGTAGAGTTTAAGCTCAGTTTTTCAAAACAATACGGTGTTAAGCTCCAATTTTATTAACCAAACTTTTAAACAAACAAATTAAAACTATACAAAACTCGACTTAGTTCATTTGCAACCCTTGGAAAAGGGGATGGTGTTCCCTCTAAACTTAAGAATGTGTCCAACCCTCTCTTATCTCACACCATCTCTAAAATGAGCTCCGTAGACGCAGCGCCATCACACCCAGACCCACGCCGAATACACGCACACGCCATCAAAACCAGCAACACCGAACGTTCCCTCCTCAACAACCTCATCACCCTCTACTCCAAATCAAACCTCTTATCAGACGCTCTCCGTCTCTTCCATCAAATCCCATTCCCAAACGTCGTATCATGGACGGCCCTGATCTCAGCTCACTCCAACACTCTCTGTTCCCTCCACCACTTCATCTCCATGCTCCGCCACCCTATCCTGCCCAACCAGCGCACTTTAGCCTCCCTCTTCAAAACCTGCGCTGCCCTCCCTTCCCTCTCCTTCGGCCTCCAGCTCCACACACTCTCTCTAAAACTGTCTCTCTCTACCCAGCCCTTTGCAGCCTCCGCCCTCGTCCATTTCTATTCGAAAACCCGTCTCCCCAACGAAGCACGCAAAGTGTTCGACGAAATTCCTGAGAGAGACGACGTCTGTTATTCCACTGTTATTGTCGGCCTCGCGCAAAACTCGCGGTCTTTCGAGGCACTTTCTTACTTTGCTGACATGAGAGCATGCAATGTTGGGTCTTCTATGTATAGTTTGTCCGGTGCGCTTCGTGGGGTGGCGGAGCTGGCCGCGTTGGAGCAATGTAGGATCATTCATGGGCATTCTGTGGTTACTGGGCTCGGCTCGAAAGTGATTGTTGCGACCGCTTTGGTTGATGGGTACGGGAAGTGTGGTCTTATATTGGACGCTCGCGGTCTGTTTGATGAGTTATTGCCGGATATGAATGTTATTGGGTGGAATGCTATGATGGCAGCTTATGCGCAACAAGGGGACAATAATTCAGTTACTGAGCTTTTTGGTTCCATGGAGGCTAGAGGGCTTGTGCCGGATGAATATAGCTTTTTAGCTCTTCTAACATCGTTTTGCAATGCGGGTTTGGTTAGTGAGACAGAGCACTGGCTGGCGAAAATGAAATTGGATTATGGGTTGGAACCTTGGCTTGAGCATTATACATGTTTGGTGGGTGCAATGGGTCGAGCTGGGCGATTGGAGGATGCTGAGAGGGTTGCGATGACACTGCCATTTGAGCCGGATGCAGCAGTATGGCGGGCATTATTGTCGACCAGTGCATACCATGGCAATGCTGATATGGCTCGGGCAATGGCCAAACGCTTGTTGGAACTTGACCCACGTGATGATTCAGCTTATGTGATTGTTGCCAATGCATTTGCAGGTGCAGGACGGTGGCAAGAAGTTAAGGAAGTTAGGAAGATGATGAAAGATAAGAGAGTGAGGAAAAAAGGCGGGCGGAGTTGGATAGAAGTGCGAGGAGAGGTTCATGTGTTTTTAGCAGGGGACAAGAAGCACGAAAGGGCTGATGAGATTTACACGAAGCTGGCAGAGTTGATGGAGGAGATTGAGAAATTGGGTTATGTGCCGATTTGGGATGAGGTGTTGCATGAGATGGAGGAAGCAGAGAAGAGGGAAGTGCTTTGGCATCACAGTGAGAAGTTGGCGGTGGCGTTTGGGTTGCTCAGTGGGGCTGCACCACCAGGGAAAGCTTTAAGGATTGTGAAGAATTTGAGGATATGCAGGGATTGTCACGAGGCTATGAAGTATATAAGCAGAGTGGTGAAAAGGGAGATTATTGTTAGGGATGTTAACAGATATCACAGGTTCTTGAATGGTAGTTGCACTTGTAGAGATTACTGGTGATCCATTCAAGATTAATTACTATAATGCTGGCAAACCAAAACCCGAAATTTGACAATATAAACATGGAGGGAGGGAGGGTTGTACATGTGGAGATTTTTGTGATTTATTTACGATAAACCCCAATAATGTTGCACAATGTTGAGAAAGAAAACGTAAATTTTGATGATACATGGAATTCATTGGCATGGTGCACAATGCTGAGAAAGAAAACCTAAATTTTGATGATACAGAGAATTCATTGGCATGGTTTTCTTCCGGTAGCTGTTGCTTGGGTGGCTTTCAGTCACGGGCGAGAAGACTGAAGCAACCACAATTTCATTCTTTGCCATTTGAGGCCTACGAGTAGAAACTGTTGTTTGCCTCCATGCCCAGATGGTTGATTCACCTGCGCTTGTTTGCTGACTGATTGCCATAGCCACATCGGAATGTTGGTGGATCAGATGGGGTAGGTGCACTATTAGTAACACTAGTTTTTTCATCCATTTTTCAGCGAGCATGAATGAGTAGGTGATTCTCAGCTGCTACTGCACGATGGGTTGAACCAAATTTTTCGGAAAGATGTAAATTGTTTTCTACGCCCTCTGTCTCGAAAAGAATGTTAGTAACGGTTTCCCAAAAAAAATATTTATTTTGGAATTGAGGGAGTACATTAAAAGAGCGGTAATTGTGGTTCTATTTTATCTATTTTTGTTCGCATGCTAACTCGTTCATTTCATTCGAAAGTCTTCGGCAAACTCATGCATCACAATTTCCTTGGTTGCTAAATTAAATGAAATATTTGGGAGTTTCTCTCTCTAAATCTCAATTAAAAGTCCCGGGAACAAATTATTTACATAAATTTGCTAAAGATACATTAAAAAATGTGGGCTATATGCATATATTCTAGAATTAATTAGAGAGAAATAACATGCATATATTCTAGAATTAATTAGAGAGAAATAACAACAATGATCTATGCCCATATATATGTATATATATATATGTGGACATCGATCCCAAGTCTCATTGTGGAGATACATCCTTCCAGGTTTGGGAAACAAACATCAAATAGATTTGCAGTTGGGAGAATCATAAGCATCGAGCTATTAATGACGAGACAGAATAGTAAAATATTTCAATTAGGTATTGATGACGAGAATAGTAAAATATTTCAATTATCATGTCCTCAGGAACATTTAGAGACTATGTACCGAATAAGAATGGGATAAAAGAATTAAGAATGTCTTTTTTTTTTTTTTTTCCTTCTCTTTTAACATTGGTAGGTAGTTAATTGGTTAGTGTTCATGTAAAAGCAAAAATGAATGAAATTTTAAGCTCAAGCAGTTGCCCAGCTGTCATGCATACCGGAACAGGATTACGGTTAATTTGAAACTTTGGGTTAATCCAAAAATTTAGTGAAACCACTAAACTACTCAAAACTGAAGATAACAGTATAAAAAGAACTGGAGAGGGGAATGGAGTCATGAAAGCAACCATTTGCAACTATGTGATTGCCCTATACGCAAACTACATATAGATCAGAGAATATTGAGATGATGATGAAAGAAAAAACAATACAAAAGGTTAATCAAGAATAAAAGGTTAACTTGGCAGTTGGTACAGTCCCTGAAACTCAAAAAGATACTAAAATTGAGGTATTCATACCTAGAAATATTAAAGGGTTAATTCCACCTACACCCCTGATGTTTGTCTATATTCCACTTACACCCCTCTACGTTTCAATATTTCACTTACCTCCCTTGAAGTTTTGATTTATATAGCAAATTACCGCCTGCCGTTAAGCAACTGATGGTGTCAGCATAAACAAATATGTACAAGGTCAATTTTGCCCTTCTAATACTTGAAATAACATTTTTAACCTCATTGACCAATGCAAATTTACAAAATTACATTTAACTCATAAACTCGAAAAGTTTAACCGTGTCCTCATATCACCGACCCAGAACACCCCTATTCACCGATTGCTTCAACTTTGTAAGTTGCTGAAATTGAGCCCACATTATTAATCCATGCACCAAAAGATGGTGACCAAACAAGTCGTTGCTCGCCGGACTGAAAAAGGAGGAATCCTTAATTCAGTCCAAATGCCGTCAAATCTACGGCCGTGTAGTTGTCGTCGAATCTACCGTCGAATCTGAAATCCCCTTCTCTATTGAAAATCTTCTCTGTATTTTTCTAAACTGAAATCCCCTTCTCGTTGTAGAACCCTCCCTCTCTCAACGGGAAATCTCTTTAGTTGGAATTTTGTTTTTTGAAATCTCTCTATGTTTCTAATAATCTAGCCTTTAACCCTCTCTTTCTTCTAATCTAGCCTTTAATCCTCTCTTTCTTCGTCGCCGGTTCAAGATGGTTATAGATAAAAAAAAGAAAACACGTATAAATGATTAATTTTATTCTATTGAATTGTTTTATCAAAACAAAAAACAGAGACAAGCACATCCATTCAATGTTAGGATGCGTTTTATCTCTAGATTTTCATCCTAATTTTTTTTTTTGTTTTTCCTGATTTGATTTGGAAACAAAAAACAAAAATAACAATGAATGGAGCTGGGTTTCCGGTGAGATCAGGCAAGTTCCGGGGGAAGAATTGTTAGTGGTGAGCTGATCGTTTATGAACCTTGAGATCGACAGAGATGGAGTTTTCAGGCAAGGTTATGACTCAAATTGCTGAAGGGTGATGGCAGTCACGCGCCGCCATCGGGTCCGATCTTCTTGTTGCCGATACAACCTCCTCACATGATTCATATTTTGGGTTGAATACTTAGATATCTCCTTCGACTTCATCAATCTTCATTCTGCTCTCCCAAGCAGACCCTGCAACTATACCCTTTTTTTTTTTTTTTTTTTTTGCAATTGGATCTTGGGCCTGCTAGTGGTGTTACTTGCAAAGGGTGATTGTTGATGGTGGTTGGCGGTCAGCCATGGTGGTGGTAGGTCGAGGTGGAGAAACGGCGAGATCGGTTTTGTAACTCGCCGGAGATTGCTTCACCCAGTTCAGTCTGGCGATCCCAACTCTGGTGAAGTGCAGTTCAATTCAGTCTGGCGAAGCTCGCAATGGAGTAAGGACTAAAGGTTGAACGGCGGTTTGTCCTTACAATTGAACGGCGGGCAGCGAACTGTCCTTGCAATTGAACGACGGGCAGTGAGGAGAACGGCTCGACTGTGATAATAACCATTTTTTTCTGTGGTTGCTGTGTATACTATCGGTGGCATAGTTTCTTCGTTGCCGGCAATAGTGAAGAAGGAAGAAAAATTATATATATATATATATATATATATATATATATATATATATATATAGTGTGTGTGTGTGTGTGTGTGTGTGTGTGAATAGAGAGAGAAATTTAATGGTGTTAAGGTGTTAAAGTGTTTTCTTTTAAATTATAAATTTTAATATATAATTAAAGGGTAAAATAGTAAAATTACACATTTCCGTTGGTATATTAGACAGCGGTTACTGATAGGGGGTGTAGGTAGAATTAACCCAATATTAAAAAGACCTACAGTAAGTAGAACATTAAAATTTTGCTAGATTGATATTATTAACTCAGGTAGTTTGGTTTATGTTTTGAGAGTTTTCTACATTTCACATGGCAGTAAGCATAATATCGATAAAACATAAAACGTCTTAGCTAACCGAAGCCCAAGAACATGTTCTTTAAACCTCTGTTACATGAAAGTGAAGTACCCATATCAGACACATATCCCTCGGACATAGGTATGGAATATGTGTCCGACATTTTTGGTTGGACATGGACTTAAAAAGTATAGTCAATCATTCAAGTACATTATATTATTACTTTAAAATGAGTTAAATGCCTATATTGAATATTATATTAGATAAAAACATTACTTTACTCTAGAAAATAAAATAAAATAATTAATAAAATGAATATTTAGCAGTGTCCGTGTGTCTTTCTGTTTAGAGATTTGACACGTCCGACTCATGGATACACACCCGTGTCCGACACCCGTACCCGAGTCTATGTAACATAGCATGAAAACCTATGAAGCACGGACACTCCTCCCAGGGGCCTCGTACCCGTGTCGGATACTTTTCGGATACCGACACCCGTGTCCGAGGCTCGGACACGTGTCCGACACTTCTGTAAAGTGTCCAAATATTATTTTTTATTGGACACGCGTGTCCGAGGTTCGGACACATGGTCCGACACTTCTGTGAGACAAAATTTATTTTCTCACTCCTCTCAGTCTCTCTTCTTCTTCAATTATCTCTCTTCATGAACAAGATATATATATATATATATATATATATATATATATATATTTAAGTTACATGAATAAAACTTTGTGAAAGACTGAAAGTATATATATTTATTCATATACATATTTAGTTCATTATAGTTATATCTCTTCTGCACATCTTCGTTTGGAATTTGGATCAACTTTATTTTTCATTTATTTTCTGTTTTGTCTTGTCCATATTTTTCTTATAACAGAGATGAAATTATTGAAATTGATTTTGTTCTTTGTTGTTGTTTTATTTATCTGTACAAGATTCTAGTAATTATATTTTGAATATATAATTTTATATATATATATATATATATATATATATATAATTTTATAGGCGTATCCCCGCCGTGTCCGTGTCCTATTTTTTTGAAATTTGCCGTGTCGCCGTATCCGTGTCGTATCGTGTCCGTGTCCGTGCTTCATAGATGAAAACTAATTGTTACCTAAGTTTTTGGGGTTTACTTCAGCCGAATAGTTCAAAACAATTGAATCCCAACAAAATAGGTGCACACCTTGATTGAAGCAACAATGAAATGACCAAGCAACGAGAAAGTGGGAACTCACACAACCTCAGACATGGGCGAAAAGGCTTTAAGAAAAATGATTGATACAAACTCTTTCTAAAGCCTAATGTGAGCTAAGAAATTGCATAGCATGATCCAGGAGCACGCAGGTGTCCTGGGTCAATAAGCAGAATGGAGGATACACACTATGGAAAAATCAAGGCACTAATAAAGTAATTTAGGGTTCCTTTCTAGTTTCTAATTGAAGCCAGAAACAACCCACAACCATCTGCAGCTGAAGAATCTTTGAAGCCCAATGTCATCAACAATTCAATGAGTCCAGAACTTAGTTCAATAGAAAATCGGAAGCAAGACAAAATATAACAAGGGCAGGCTAATAGAGTAGCTTGGCATGACCACATCGATCATCACAGCTCCAACACCACCACCAACCACAACACACCACTGACCCAACCTCATCTTCACCTCCATCCCCACCACCACCACCACCACTAATCAGACCTACTCACAATCCCTAATTTGAAAGACAAATCCAACCCACAAACTTCGCTACATGATCACTTCAACAATCATCATGATGTCGAATCTTGAACTCCCAACATCCTAGTAAATTTTTTTTTTTTTTTTTTTTTTTTTTTCACATATAGGAAGGATTTATTGCATATCTGCAGACAACCAACTTAAACTTAAATGGTGTAATCAAATATAATATTCACCCAAAAATTCAACTTGAAACCCAAATATAATCCACAAAAATCATCCACCCTAAGTTCTAGCTATGTAACAAAATAAAACAAAACAAGAGCCCATACACAAATATATATGGACCGAAAATTAATAATGTGCTTTGAATTCCAGGAAAGGCATCCACTGAGACAAACCAAAAATTGCACTACCGATATAAAAACGATTATTCTCGAATTCAAGCTCAAGAATATTAAAAACAATCCGTTACAGCATTCGTCCACCATCGTTTTAAAAAAAAAAAAAAACCCTAAATCATATTGGAAAAACCCTAAACCCTCATGGTCTGGATCAAAGAAACCAACCAGAATCCTAAGAAGACCATACCTTTGAGATCATTATCAGAGACACCAATCAGAATATCAACCCCAATCTACTTCTGAGTCGCACCGACGGGAGGGGTGCCGAGTAAACTGGCCTGCTGCATCTCGAGCTCGTTGAGCTGCTGCTCGCGATCCATCGAGATGATGAGCGGCAAGACGAGGATGAGGAACGTCGTGCCGGCGATCCAGGCGGCTTTTCCAGTGCTCTTCATCAGGCGCTTCGATACGTAGGCGGCGTCGGACGCCGCTTGCTTGCCCTTGTGGACGATCACCGACTGCGAGACGGCGCTAGAAACCTTTGATAGGATCCCTTCGCTGTCGCTGCTGTTAGATCTGCTGAGAGATAAGCGTTTTCCGCCCTGAGACGCCATGAGAGACACAAGAAAGAGAGAGAGAGAGAGAGTGTTGCACCGAGTCCTTGAAGTTCTGTGATAAACCTTATGATTAATTTATCAGACTCGTAGGGTTTATAGAAAACTAATAAAGGAAATTAATTAATTAAATCATATTATTATGGTTAAAAAATTATATTATATAAAATATTCCAAATCTTATAAATAAAATTATAGAAGTTACTGGAAATATCTGGAACACGTTTAAATCTTGTAGAATAGGAAAAATTAATTACTGAAATGATAAACTGTCATCTTAAATATTTTTGTATTTTTTATAATTTTTTTTTTTTCCCAATAAATAGTATTTTGTAATAGAATGAAAGCAAACTGAGAGAAAAAAAGAAAAAAAGGAGTTCAGTGTTCGAGTCCTCTACCAAGCCTTCTAGTTTCATCGACTTATCCGGTATTGCAGCTGTGGAGCAGACTGCTGTATCCCTAGTTTGGTGTTTCAGGGTGGGGTCCGTAAGGGTCGTGTCTCGGGGAGTTCTGGGTTATAAAAAAAAAAAAACTGAGAGAAAAAGGGAATGGAACTAATTGCAATATTAACAATTTCTTTACCCTTCAAATTTTTTTTTTTTTTGACTTATTAATCTTATTGAATCTAATTTATGTATTAAGTGAATTGTATGATTGAGAATCAAAATCCAATCTGTTCAAAGTTACATGAGTGCTACAAGACCATTCGACTTTTTTATAATTTTATTAAAAGAAAATTTCAAAACATCAATTATATCAATAATTATGGAACACAGCTCAAATATTCATATTATTTAAGATATATAATATCTTTAAATAGCCTTTGTGTTCAAAATAAACAGTTTTGAAGCAATAACACAATAAAATTGAATTAATTGAGTTTCTTTTACCATCATGCCCAACAAAATGTGTCAAGCACATATTCATACCCATTTCCATGTGTTTGTCCTTCAACCACGACATTTGGACTAATAACTACAGGGTAAATATCGAATATACAATCATCCACAAATCAGTCATTTAAATGTATGTGTTTTGATTGATCAAATTCTTAAAAATAAAAAAATAAATATCACTAAGATTTTTTTAACAAAAGGCAAAAGCATTGACATTTGTTGAAGATTAATCAACAAGAATAAAACCTCTCATTATATATTGCAAACATGAGAACGGCAAGTTAAGAAGGTTCTCCACTTCTTGTGATTTTGAGATAAGAGTGTTCAGAACCAAATCCCTGTGTACATTCCCACCACTAGTCCCAAAACCTCTGCACACAACAAGAGAGGTATTACACACCCAAGGCACAGAAACAGTAAATGCCAAACCAGAATCTTCTTGATCACAAGAACTCTCCTTCCCTATCAGCACATCCTTGTATGCACTGCAAACTCTGGAAACATATTTTCCCATTGGCAGAATCTGGCCGGAGAAAGATGGATCGCCCTCGGCATCTGCGTGAAGGTTCACAATGACTGTTCCATGATCTGGATGAAGCCGGTCTCCTAGAGCTCTGAGAAATGGCGAATCTGGGTCCCAAAGCTTGTGAGGAAAAATGTCTTCGCCGTCATAGGCATCAATGAAGACCATGTCATAAACATTCTTGGTGTCAAGAATGAACTTCTCGGCATCTGATTCATAGAGGTAGAGCCTTTCATGAATACCTTTCCACAGTACTTCGTCCATGGAATTGGGTTTTGAGAGTTGACGCTCACCAGATGGGGCCATGACAGAGAAAGACGGGAACCCCATTGCTTTGATTGAGGCTGAGATAACAAGGGGGTCGATCTCAACAATGTGAACAACAGCACCTGGAGGGAACATGACCTTCCATGTCAGACCGACAAAACTTGAAGACCAACCAATCCGCTTTACAAAAAAAATAAAGAAGAAAGAAATGAGAATTTAACAATGCTCTAACCCACATCAGGAACCTATCACTCTAACAGGAATGAAACAGTTTTTTTTTTGAGATGGCAAAAGACGAAAGCAAGCGCCAGAGTGAAAGAGATCACTCTCACAAAGATGCAAAAGAAAAATAAGAGTACTTAAACTTCATACTCTAACCATTGACCAGTTCAACCCACTTTCTTCTAATTACTACACTAGATTGAGAAACAAAATATAAGGTGTAGAACACAATTCAGAAGAGACATTAATGTGTAGATCAGACGAAAAGAGATCATGATAATTCAGGCAATAAGCAACTTGTTTCCATCAGAAGTTAGTGGGTAATACTTGTCATGATAATTCAGGTAATGATCATATTTTTAACTGAAAAAACACCCAAAACCGGAAAGTGCATATGGAAACAAAAAGTAAAGTCCTCTGACCTTGTATTTTACTAGCCAAAAATAATGGTAAGGTCCCCCCACCATGACCAATGCATAAAACATTCATAATTTTTGTCCCACGTACTACATTCTTGAAATCATAATTGCAGGATGATGCTATGGAAGCCAGCCCAGCTGATACCATACTCTTCACATCTGCGGATGACATTATAAGATCAAATACAAACTTAAGAAGGAATAATTAAGCTAAAGTGTCCAATATATTGATCTAGGAAGTTCTGCTATAGGCCATCAATGAAAAACACTCTGATACATGATACCAGATGTTCAAACAAAGTATATAACACATAGGAGATCCCATAACCAAAGATAAGACAAACATCTGCTGACCATTACAAGAAACAAAATTTGAGGTTCTTCAACCAGACAAAATTAGGTTTTCAAGATAAAAAGTCAATTGGCAATTTAAAACAACACCAAATCTCCAAGAGCTTCTATTCACCAGTACAGATTCTCCATGGTGAGGTTGTACTATGTGCCTCTTTGGTACATGCAAACTCTCAAGTATTTTTCCTAACTTATAATGATAAATTACAGTTTATTTTTGTTGATATCATACATACACATATACTAGCGGAGCTTAATGAAAACATCAGATATGGCACAAATAGAACTGCACTTGAAGAAAATTACATCCATCTATCAATAAGCATCATCTTACCCTTTTTCTTCAACTCCCGAATGGAGGTTATCAGAATTGTGGAATTTTAACCTTAATCAGTAAATAACAAATGCGGTCCAATTCCAATCAGCAACAGAGTTAGAAAATGTGCATATCTATGAAACTAAAAAAGGTATTCAGGAAAAAAAGAAGAAGATGAATCTAGTGACGTAGGGATGTTAATGGCTTCGTCCAACATATTTAATTACCAACAGAGCCACTGAAACCAACTTTAATTTTTTCAAACGCTGTATCTGAATCTCCTTAGTTACACTCTTGAACATTTTCCTTTCCTTGATAGTGTTAGAAGAGCTCTTGATTGCACCCTTTTAACCTCATCACAATTACTCATCACAGTTAAAAGAACTTGAGAAGACACAAGTATTGCTACCTTCATTGACCCTGAATGTTCAATTTGTGGTGGATGTCTCAAAGAGCATGAACAAGTAATTAGCTTCGAGAGGTCTGTAAGGAGAAGAATGTGGAGAACGAGATGCACAAGAATGTGGTACAGTAAAGCAAACACAAGATTGAGACCAAGAAAAATGACATCCACGAAGCATGCTACTAGAACATGAGATAAACTAGAGCCAAATTACAGTTTTCTTTATCGAGATTATAACAAAGCAGTTGCGAAAAGGAAAAAGAAGTGGCAAAGTAATTTACATGGAACAGCCAGGCAATGTGCCTGCTGCATGAAGCATACAGACTCAGGATCTGATTCCCTATAAGCAGCCATTATTTTAACTGTGCTTTGGCGGGTCTCATCATTAAAGCGTAGAGTGCGCCATTGATAACCAAGAATCCTAAAACGTTCATCATGTTCAAAACCAGGATGTATCTCTGCATACCTTTGCTGAAGCCATTTTTCTGTTCCTGGCCAGTAAACTTCGTTCTGCAAACAAAATGAAACAGAAATATCAGTTACTGCAAGATTCCTATGTGACACTCTGAAATTCCTGGTTTAGAAAGTTTTTGGTGCTGGAAATAACTCTAAGCTCAGAACTAATCAAGAACCAAAGCAGAAAGAAATTAATCAAGGACACCAAAATTTGGTAGAGAATTTTGGGACATCTAGAAAAGGCACTATGGATATAAGTAGGAAAAGTAATGTATGTCAGATAGAAGATAAAATGATTTGATAATTACATATTACTTGCAATCTACCCTCCAAGCATCATTGATTCACGTGACTAGCACTGATAATGGCCTTATATGTATTTATGTATACATTTGATAAGTAAATATTACTTGTGACAAAAAAAAAAAATCCTATTATGATGAAAAGATAATCTTTGGCAGTATTGCACAAAGTGGCTTTCTTAGACTCAAATCAACATTGTCATGCTTGGCAGCCGAGCACTACACTATTTGAACAACGAATTGCTAATATGCAACAAGATATAATTTATAATTAAAAGAAGAAAATACATATATCAAATTATTCTGGTATTGTTTAAATAAAAAATATGAGATCTAAACTTGAAAGGACAAAGAATTCATTTAAATATAATTTTTCCCTAAATTTGTTTATATTCAGCTGGTGAAAATTTCTGCACTTTTGGGAGGTGAACAAGGCAGGTTCATATTTTTCGAAGTCTCAACACTTGCTGGAAGAGACCCGCGAATGAATCAACACCTTGAAGAAGAAAGCAATTGCTTTGAGCCCTTAGCTTAAAATTTGAGCAATCTCTAACTGCCACAAATGACCAAATCGAACCATTGAGTACAACCAACCATTACAATAATAAGCATAGAAATTGTAATTTGAATGAGGCCAACAATTACAATAATAAGCATAGAAATTGTAATTTGAATGCGGCACACATTCTCAGAGCTTTCAAATGTTTATCTATACGAATAACAATAACAGATCAATCAACACATTTGAATTCAGATGTATATATATATGACACAGACATATATATAGATAGAGACAAATATACATATAAATATACAGTAGTTATACTCCATGTAGAGATAGAGAGTTAACTGGTCTGGAGGCAGGATACGCAAGGACGGAGACGATGCCGTTTCCTTTATCAGAAGGTGATCGCAGAACTGTAAGGCCGTTGGAGTGATTATCCCACCATTCCGATGAATAAAACCAGTCGCCTTCATCTTCAATGTGACGTCGTGTCTCCGTACAAAACCGCCGGAGTTTTAATCCTATCCTCAACCCTCCTCTCTGCCACATCCTAAAACCCTAAACCCCTAATTTCAAAAGGCCCTAAATCCCGGACATGTGAACTGCCCGTGTAACTAAACTTTACTGTCGTACCATTTTAGTTGTTAATTTTGAAAACTTTAATTTTTAATCACTTTTTATTTTTAAATCATTGATCGTTTTTAACCATGTTCCTTTTATATACTATTTATATCTAATATTAAATATCTATTTTAGTAATTTTAATTCACAAAAATTATGAGGCAAAATTTTTTGAAATGAATAATTAATATAGACTGAGGTAAATAAATAAACTATTCATGAACAATTCCATTGGTAAAAATTTGAATTTACGGATAAATAAGAAAGTATTTTGTATAAAGAATGAAAAGTAAGAGTATTCGATAAGGTAATACACTTCAATTTTTTTACATGAGTATTCAGTGAGTACGTTTCTTTTGTTAAGTAAATGTCCTAATTCCAACCAAAAGCATTCACTACAACCTTTTGATATCACTACTATTTAGTGAGTGTGTGGTTCTATCTTTGAAAGTGAATGGTAATATTTGGAATCTCCAAAAGAGTAAGATGAATGTATGAGTGGTGTAAGCCTAATTTCAATAATTATTTGAAAATTTGTGCTAATTCGGTAATAAGTTAGGTATGCTTGTTAAATTTTAAGGGACATTACTTATTAATTAATGCGCTAAAAATTAAAAATATTTATTTTTTAATTATTAATTAAAAACTTTAGTATTTAAAATTCAGCTCTCAAAATTTTAAGTACTTAAACAACACTTAAGTATCAATGTCTTAAATGAAAATTAATAGCCGAAAGTGAAAGTGAAAAAAATAAATAAAAATAAAATTGCAGAAAAATAAAATAAAATTTTTATGAGTAGTTTGGTGAGTATGAATTTTTTTTAAGAAAAATCTGAAAGTTTTACTTCATATTTTGGATGGTATGAAAATAAGTAGAAAATAGTATGATCTATCTAAATTGTCCACTTCTTTTTTATTAAATGTGACAACAGGTGTAAATAAATTTATATTTAACAAAAATAAAAGATTTTGAAAAATAAAAGCAATATAAAAATCTAAAAAAAAATTGTAGGACGCTTAGAGAGAAATAATTATTAAACTATTGTTATAAAAACAAGGCATAAACACATTTTATTTTAGAATGTAAAAAAAAAATGGATATATTGAAATTTCATGCAAAATTTTACATTTTTTTTATATGAAAATTTTGTGAGAAAGTTGGGTGGTCATGAAAAGTTATTTTTTGATTTAAAAAAAAAAAAATTTCTTGCTATCCAAACTTTTAAAAGGTTTAAAAAAATTCTATTTCTATTTATTTTTTTTTCTATTTCTTTCAATTGTTTCCAACTAACAACTAAGCTTGCCAATGTTTCGTGATTGAGTGAATTTGTTAAGATGTGAACACAACTAGTTTAATGGGATTTCTTGTGGTTCATACTTATAATTATTATTTTTTTATAAAAAATTTAAATTTAAAGCTTGAAATTGAACGAATCAAACAAGCTCTAGAGGGCTCATGCTGTCATGCATAGTTTGACATAAACTAGAGTCAGTTGAATACTATTACAGAGTGATTCAGTGAAGGTTGATGATAGACTTGACTCCCTTGCTAGCATTGTTAAAAATGAGAGGAACCACGATTCATAAACCAAAGTTTCATAGGATTTTTTTTCTTAAAAAGCATATATCATGTTGCTAAATATATACACGATATTTAGCAACATGACGTATGGCACTTCACTTTTATATAATTACATTTTATTTTTAAAATAATAATAATAATAATAATAAGAGGTCCTTATAACATTCAGTGCCATTCTGAAGGTCACACATGAAGTTCAATAAGCATATGTACTATACTAGTATACTCCCACCCTTTGTGCCGCACCAAAAACAATATTTGACGCCGTCATTCAAGCGGTAAAACAGTTACTTTTATTGTGTATGTTGATGATATTGTTCTTATCGGTAATAATACTATCGGAATGGCTGAGGTTACTCTTATTATAACTGAATTGAAATATTCAAAAACAATATAAATGTTGCATGTGATACTTCACAGGTTAGAATTGGAGGCGTGCCCAGTCAAAAAGGACATCCAGTTGCATATTTTAGTGAGAAACTTATGAAGCAACAATTGCATGTTACGTTGTTTTTTTTTTTTTAAATAATAATAAAAGGTCCTTAAATTAATTGATGCACCATTCTCATTTTATAATACCATATCTACCATTTACACCATAAACTCTTAATTACTTTTATTACTATTTTTTATTATTATTATTTTTTATTTTGCCAAAAGATAATTTATTCAACAATTATTAGGATGATGGCCAATATTAAAATCTTTATTAAACTTAAATTATGGATTCAATTAAGAATATTCACTAAACATGGCATAAAATAGAAATTCCAAATTAATTTTTAAAAACCACATCGGAAAAGAAAAGAAAAAACTCAAAGCATAAAATAGAAAAAAAAAATTTTTAATTACCATTTCCATCACCATCCAAATTAATTCTTAAAAATCACATAGATAAAAAATAAAAAAATAAAAAAAATCCAAACTTCAGTTACCATTGCCATCATCATTACCATCAAAAGAGTTTAATGGTTCATGAAATTTTAATAATTATTCAATAGTTTATATGCTAACAATAAGAAAGGCAGGGAATAAGAGAAAAATAGTGGTTAACAAAAATATGTGGGATACAAACAAATAAACAAACAAAAAAACACAATTTTACCATAACTGAAAAGGATAGTTGTATCATTTGAGAAAAACAATTATTAATTTTAAGTTAGAATTAGATGTGTCATTTCCTTTATTAAGGTTGAAACGCAATTGTGGAAAAGTGGGGTGTTGCATCCTAATATATAATTGTACTATTGATTTGGAGATTTGGTGGGCACAAATAGAATGAAAATGGGAATGGAATGAAATAGTCATTCTAATTTTGGTTGTAAATATGAGTAAGAATAGAATGATAATATCCATTCTAGTGTTTGGTTGGATCAATTTAAAATTTAGAATATAATAAATTTTAAATTTAATTAACAAAAGAATATTCTCTAATAATTTTTAAAAAATAAATGGTGGCAGCTATGGTGATGGTGGAGGAAAGTAGTAGTGGTGTAGATGGTGGTGTTGGAAGGCGATGATAGTGGTAGTGGAAGGTGGCAGTGGTGTTGGTGTTGGTGGAAGGCGTTGGCAATAGTGTGGTGGTGGTGATGAAAGAAGATAGTGGTGTAGGTAGCGGTGGTGGAAGTGGCGGCAATGGTGGTGGTTGAAGGAAGTGGCGGTGGTGGTGGAGGTGGAGGAAGGGGATGTTGGTGGAAAACAGTAGCGGCGGTGGTGGTAGAAGGCGGCGGCGGCGGCGGTGGTGAAATGTGGTAGCAGTGGTGGAATGTGGTAGCAGGTGGTGAAAGTAGTAGCCGTGTGGTGGAAAGTGGTGGCGGTGGTGAAAGGCAAAGGCAATGGTAATGGTGGAAGGTGATGGTGGTAGCGGTGGTGAAAGGCGGCTGCGGCGGCAGCGGCGGAAGGCGGTGGTAGTAGTGGTGGTGGTGAAAGACCGAGGTGGTTGTGTTGGAAGCAGGGACGGAGCCAAGATTTCAAGTGAGGCACGCTACAAAAAAAAATAATAAATAAATACACGGAGTGTATATATATATATAAAATATAACAATTGTAAAATTCAGAATACAAAGAAGAATAAAATTATTCAAATATGCACATTTAAAAGAAGAATTTTAAAGGTAGAAGTAGAAAAAGAAAAATGAGAGAATTTTAAAAGGAAAAATTTAAAAAGTTTCACTTGATAAGGAAATTTTGACTTTTTCTATTCAGGAATTTTAATGAATTTGAAGAGTAAAAGATAAAATAAAGATAAATAAAGAAATAATTTTAGGAATCAAAAATTTTATTGGGGCATTGTATAAATTTTTTCATATATATGGAAAAAATTAAAAAAATTACCAAATATATTATAGAGTGCAGGTCAACTCAGGGACACGTGTCCCCTTAGACTTTCATAGGCTCCGTCCCTGGTTGGAAGGTAGCGGTAGTTTTTGGACTTGAAACACGAGGATTTTTGAGAAATTTATTTTTTTAAAAAAATTACTTATGAATGGAATGACCATTTTATAGGTTTAGTTGGAATGACGATCATTCCCACTTTAAATTACATACTAAACAAAGAAATGACTAAAATAAACATTTCATTTCATTCTATTCCATTACATTCATATACAGTCCTGTCCATTCCATTCTATTCTTATACAACAAACACAATATTAGAGTTTTTGATTGTGGAGTTTGAGAGAGACCGATGGATTTTTTTATAAATTTGGTTGTCGGGTTGTTTAGGCCTTGGATTTTGGGTTATTACAGTAATGGTTTCAAAAGGTTTTGAATTTTGGGATGATTTAGCTCCATTTTCTCAATGCCAAATAAGCTTAGATTATCCGTACTTAATTTCCAATTAAATTGCGTATATTTATTATATACAAAATTAATTTTGTGGTGGGCTTTTGAGGGCGGTGAGAGAGAGAGGATAAATTTTGTTCATACAAAGTTAAAATCATAATTATTGAACCCATTTCTTATTATCTTGCTTGCAGAATATTGAAAACATGAGAATTTAATCAACTTGATTCTATTTTTTTACAAGGTAAGAATTAAAAAAAATTAAAAATTAAAAATTAAATTAGTCTAACATTCTAAAATTCACCGACAACTAATTTATTGGGCTATAGAAGGCATCTGCATCTTCTCAAATTATTCAATTAGACACTTTAAAATATAGTCTTGCTTAAGAATTTTTCCAAATTTGTGGCCTGAAAAGCAAAACAATACAAAAAGGAGTGCCAACATAACCGTTGACACTGCCGGTATAGAAACGTATCTGATTCGAACTGACCCACCAGAGCCAAGTGCCCCAACCCAAGCGATCCTTTGACTACCATTGTTGTCTCCTTCACAATATTAAATACAGTGCTCCCATTCAATTCCCACTTTCTTTTGTTGTTCCATGAGTCCTAAAAGTCATTCAACCATTGAATATTCACATCTCTATCACATGTTTTTGGTGTTTTTGCTACTTTCGGTTCGAAGATCTGTGTAACCCAGAACTTAAAATCTCCTTATTCCATCGATTTCTTATTTGCTGAAGCATCTGGGGATTCAAAACAAGTGGGTTTATGATCTCGGTTGTTTTTGTTTATTGCTTTCTTCAATGAATTTTGTTTTTATTGTCGTTTTCTTGGTCTTTATGTTTGTTTTTTTGAATTTTTGAAGTGTATCCAAAGGTGAAGGTGAGGGAACAAGAACAAGATGATCAAGACAGAAGCTTCTTGCCGTCCTTGGAGGCGTTTGAATCTCTCTCCATACATGATTTTGATTCTCCAGGTATATATATATATATATATATATATATATATATATATATATAAACATCCTAGATTACATGTTAGTTCATTTTAATCTATTTTGTTGAGTTTTACTCCTATCCAGCTGTTAGACTTGAAAATTCAGTTTTGTTTTGTTTGGATGATTAATTCAAAGTGTCCTGGTTTTTGGTTTGTTGCTCCTATCTTTAATTAATTACTGTTTGAAAATTTTGGGTTTATTTGAATTTCCGGGAAAAAAAAAGGGTTTATTCAGTGTTTCTTTTCTCAGATAAAGTGATTGTTGTTAATTATGGTGAAAAGGGATAGATTATCTTGATTTTCATCATTTTTCTCTTATGAGTGATTTGCCAGTGGGTCAAAATTGGGTTCATTTTGGACCTTGTTCTGTTCAACTGTTCGATAATACATGATTCAACTATATATATATATATATATATTTAAAAAAACAATAAATTCTGTTGCAATTCAAAATATAAGGAATTAGCATCTTGATCTTTCATTTTCTAAAGCAAATCATTTTAGGAAAACAAGTCTGTATATGAACTTTCCCTATGAATTTATTGTCCTTTGAAATAAAAGCTTCTAGGGTTGAAATTGCCTCGACTTTGTCAATCATAGGTTGAAGCAGTGTAAGTTTTATATGGTCAATTCATGCTCTGAAACAGATGCTACTGAAGTAGGCAACTATAATGTTTAACAGTTTCCTCCGCCATTACAACCTTAGTATTCATGTGGCCTTTTCTTAAAAAAAAATTTAGACACACAATAAAATTGATAATGATGCCATATGCATAACTATTAGTTCTTTGGTTAATGTCACTGTTATATATTCATTTGAAGGTCTTTGTGTTATTTACAGCTAATGAAAGTAAATACGGTTCGCCAGCATCCATTGTGAGAATTCCAACACATCATATTTCAAATTCGGCAACACCTGCGGTTCCTGTAGTTAAAGGTTCAATCTTTACTCCATTTGTGAATCTTAAGGCAAGTTTGTCGTGGTTCTCAAATCGAGCTACATTTCTTTTTTAATTTGACAGAAGCAGGAAAGAACAACAGCAGCAATAGAAAAGATGTGGAGGACAGTAAACCAAATATCAGAGCTGGTTCAATCCTGCGGCCACGTGCTGTTTTATCTAGTCCTGGTATTCCGATATTACTACATTTTCCATATGCATGTTACTATTTTTTTCACACATCTGGAGTTGTTTGATGCATCTATGTTGTTACATTCATATTATATAGTATATATTTTGAAAAACTCCTCTTCCATTTTGATCGAAAATAAGTTTGATTCTTAATTCTGTAGAAAGCTTAGGAGGTCCATCTTTTTCACATGAAAAATTGGATGTTTTCTTTTTTCTGTCAGAGGTTGGATTCAATGACTACATGCTTCGTAAAACCATCCCCTTGAATGCTCATCCAATATGAGTGAAACTAACTGGTCTGGGAACCTTGATGTCTAGTTTCTGTAGAAATATTTTGTGTTGACGAATGTGAAACAGTGGATTGGATTGGATTAATTTTGTCCATAGAGGTCAAGCTGTTTTTCAGATAAAATGAGCACATGTTCAAAATTCAAACCTCGTTCAATACAAAGAGCCATATTGAATTAATCCAATTTTGATTTCAGATAATGATGGGATGATTAGAAGCAGAAAAAAGACGAGAGCAGAATTAATGTCAGGTTTGAAAAACCATAATTTGTGTCAAAACAGACACACACAATGCAAGGTTGAACCAAGAACCATTGTTGCTGAAAGTCCTATAAGCATGAGAAGAGATTCCAAGGATGCTGCTGATCGTAAGACTGATCCTAAAGGAAGAAAAGTTTCATTCGTAGCTGATCCGAGTAAAACCACACACCTCGGTAAAGGGAAACCACTCTGTGTTCGAATTTAAGCATCCACTAATATGACATTAGATCAATAATCAATCTTTTTGAGTGTAGCTATTTTGGAGGGTTTTAATTTTGTCATAAAACCCAAGAATTGTAACTATTATCCAGCTTAATGCATTTGTGTCATGCACTTGGATTTTTAAAATCTTCATATACTCAACTTTGTAAACTTCCTGCCAAAAGATTCACATGAAGAGTCTAGCATAATATTTTAGCATCCTCTTCTGACATTAGTTTCAAATGCAAACAAGTTCTTATGCTTAGGTAAAAAATTTAAAACTATGGTTGCAATAATCAACATTGTTTCATCTTCTTGTAATCTGACACTAATGTATGTGTTGGATAACTGCAAACATTTATGAGTAGCCGAAGTATAAAGCTTTTTCGATCTGTTATACCTCTGTGCTCTGTTTCCAGATAGTTTGCTTTGAAGTTGAATTGTGTGGAAAAACTATATGGGGAATCATGATATTTTATGACCATAAGGGCATAAGGCAACACCCTCACCTCATAGAGATCCCAATTGAATCAAACATAATGGTTCAAATATGTAAAGCTTACTGCACAAATATCATCGCATTTATTCCAAAAGTTCTACCGCTTTAAAAGAGGTGTTCAGAAAAATGAGAAATTTTTATTCCATTCATTTCTAGTCACATACAACTTTATTCAGGAAATCCAGAATTAGACTAAATGGATGACCTGGAAATAGTGTAAGACTCTATCCTTTGATCGATGTGGTCACTGAGTTTTTTTTTTTTAACATGGTAATAATGAAGGTTTTAGCATCTGTCAGCATATTAGCACTTGGAATACTGCTGTAGAGTTCAAGCATTTGCAGAAGTCACTGCTCCCGCTTGAAAAAGTGAAACCTGATTGTTATCTTCCCGTGCACTATACTCCTCCTCATCTTCCTCCGTCTCCCAGAGAAAGCTAGCATATGCCGCAAGAACATAGCTGAAAGCAAATAAAAAGAACAGGTTCGGTTAAGCAGAAAATTTTGAATGCTATATATATTTATAATCCTGGCTATACAAATATCCATAAGCAGTTTATTCTCTCCAGACTGGATTTGTGTGTGCTTGTGTGCACAAACTAGGGATATGCAGGACGTAGATCATGGTTGCATATGAGTCCACTCTACAAGGCTTTTTAGGATCATGTATGGGGTTTCAAGAGAATATCAATAGCTTCCATATTGGATATATGGTTGCATATCGGACAAAGCAATCTGAGAAAATTCCTACCAATCTCCTGGAGTAGCTTGAACTGCTCGCTCAAAATAACAAGTCGCTTTGTCTCGGTCATGATGAAGTTCCCACACCAATTTTGCATATTGTGAAATTATTTCACCGTCTCCCGGATCAGCTAATATTGCACGTGAGTAGTATTCCTCAGCTCCCCGAAGGTCTCCCTTGGACTGTAAGCCAATGCACAAAAAGGAATGGTCATCATATTTGAGAGATCAGACCTGTGAGCTATGGATTAAAATCTATAAGAGAAGCATTAGGTGGATAACACTTAATCCTCATCTTTTCTGTTGTTGTTGTTGCTATGTGTTGCGTCATAGTTTTGGTTGGGGATAATATAGATATTGTTAGAAATCGTGCATTCCTGCCTCTACCACAGGATCAAGGTTGGCGTATCATTTCAAGATCCGGGCTGAACCCTGATCAAATCATAGAAACATCCTGAGTCTCAACACCTCAAAATGCCAGCAAAAATTGGAGATTCTATGCATGGGTGAGTTTTGATGATATGGACTCGGCTTTGGAAAGGAATAGTTGAACCCTTTGAGATGCTGCAATACATTGATTTAATCTGAAATGTGCTTTTTGCTAAACTAGTAACTTGCTTTGATCTGTAAAACTGATTGCTTCCCTTTAAGGAAACACTAGAAGGCCAGGTCTAGAACCGATCTATGTTCTTCACACACACACTATGTATGCATCAGTCTTTCAAAATAATCTGGCTATTCAAGATTCTTAATCAGTTCAATTAAAGCTAGGAACACTCATTTTTCATGTTTTTTAAAATGATTTATTAGTACAAGTTTTCCAATGTGCTGCATTCTATGGAAGCTCATAGCTAGAGCAGTGACTAATCAATCAAGCTTATGATCTGGTTCATTATGAGAAATTTTAAATTACCGGCGTGTATGTGAATTTAACATGAGGAACTAAACAGAAAAAAGAGGAATCCGAATCTATTAATCTCACCTGATGGAGGAACTGGGCATAGTTTCTCAAAAACAAAGGGTTGCAAGGCTCTTCGTGAACCATCCTCTTATAATATTCCTCCATGTTTTCATCCTCGTCTGGAACTGTTGTTGTGAAGCCAACACCCCGTACTGCCTGATGCAAAGGTGAGCTAATTCCCTCCTTTTGTTCTTTAGAATCCGAGTTCTGAATTTCAACCAGATCTTCATGCTTTACATTCTGCAATGTCTATCAAGCATTAGTTCTATCCAATGTGGTTGTGGTTGAGCTTTTGTAAAATCCAAGATGATATAAATACAGAAAAACACCTGAGTATTATCATTCTGTGAAAAATCTTCTTCCTCGTCGTCCTCTATCTCCCAGAGAAATCTAGCGTATGCTGCAAGAACATGGCTGAGAACAAGGAATGGATTGTTAATTACAGAATATATTTTAAAGGCAACACCTTATCCCAGGTGCTTAGTAAGAATAAGAAGCAATAATCCAAGAATGATAGATTCCCTCATGAATTTATCTTGAATCGGGATCTTTTGGCTCAACTTTATCCCAGTTTTGCCGAGGAAGCAACCCATTTTTTACCTTGAATTGGTCAAAATATGCAAAATTTCTTACTTTTTGTGGAGGATTAGATCCAGTAATTGAACATCATATAGATGTTGAAGTTGAACATTATTATTTAAATGACCACTCTGTTGAATTAATGGAGTTGATTTGGAACATACAATTGACAGTGAAAATTCAAACAGAAACTAAAGCACACAATTCCTTGTGGGATTGAAGGAAAGGTCGGATGAATGCAATAAAGTACTCACGTATCATCAGGAGCAGCTTGAGCTGCGCGTTTAAAGTAAATCAAGGCTCTCTCTTGGTCATGATGCAGATCCCACACCAATGCAGCATATTGCTGCAAGATTTCACCATCTTCAGGATCTGCTAGCGTAGCACGGAAATAGTAGTCCTCGGCTCCAAGAAGATCTCCCTTGGACTGTCATTCGGAAAAAAAAAAAAAAAAAATGAAAACATAAGCACAATATTTAATAGAAGAGAAATCATCCTTACATATGATGAAAAACTAATTGAACTTGTAGAAAATACAAGGAGGGCTATCAAGAAGATGTTATCCGCTAAATAGAACTCTAAAACATGACATTTTCTGGGTATTCTTCAATTCAACAAATGCCTTATCTAATGATATAATGAGTGGCAAAAAAATCGAAAACTAGTGAACCAGAGAGAACCCAAGAGGGAGTAAGATTTATTGATGATTTTATTATTATTATTATTAATTGAAGATTTATTGATAATGGTCAAGTTTAATTAACTGTATAATCATCCCAACTATAAAATGATTCAAGAAACTAAAACCATAGTGATTAATTACTAGATTCAATGAAAGAACAAAACTTTCTGGGTATTCTTCAATTCAACAAATGGCTTATCTAATGATATAATGAGTGCCCAAAAAATCGAAATCTAGTAAACCAGTGAGAACCCAAAAGGGGTTTAGATTTATTGATGATTTTTTTAATTTATTTTTAATTAATTGAAGATTTATTGATAATGGTTGAGTCTAATTAACTGTATAATCATCCCAAGTGTAAAATGCCTCATTAAACTAAAACCATAGTGATTAATAACTAGATTCAATGCAGAACGAAACTTACCCGCAAAAGCTGAGCATAGTTCCTTAGAAACAAAGGGTTGCAAGGATTTTCACCAACCATCCTCTTATAATACTCCTCAACATTGCCGGTCTCATCCAGACCTGCCTGAGTGAAATCACCGCCACCGCCGTCATCAATCCCAAAACCTGTAGCAAGATACATAAGAGGACTAAGTGGCTGATTAGTTTCCTCCTCTTCTTTTCTTTCAATACGCAAATTCCGAAATCCACTCGGCAAATCCTCTTCTTCTTCAGCATCCTCCTGAATCAAGCTCATAGCTTTCTTCCCAAAACAGAATTCATCACTACCCATAGCTTCAATGCTGTCTCCAATTGTCACAGACCTCACCAAATCTTCTCTCCCCAACTCCTTTGCTTCTTCTTCATTCCCATCTTCTGTATTGAATATCGAAAACGACGGAGGTGAATACAACATTGTTTTATGGAGTTTATGACAGAATCTTGTTGACTTAATTGAATCACCACAGAATCCCTCCAAATCAGAAGAAGTCGAGCCTAGCCCTTCTAAATTGCCCTCAGACAGGGCTCTACGAAAGGCGTTGCGACGAAGATTATTGGGTTTTGGATCGAAATAATTGATCCCAGAGGGAGATTTAGATTTCGGTGATGAGTGGTTGCAAGAAAATGAGCTCAAATTGAGATGGTGCTGATGGTGAGCAGCTTGAATGAATGAAACTTTGGTGGTGGTGGTGTCAAAGTCTCTGTTTGGACTGTCTGAGAAGCTTGTGTGAAGAACTGGAGATGATGAGCTTCTGAGTAGCATCTGTGATCTAGATTTCTTGGTTGAGATTGTAAAGCTTTGACCCTGTGAATAAGAGTGGGAAGTGCCCAATTAAAGTAAAATAGAACCAAAAATTACTCAAAAAAGAAAATTTATTTTTCTAGGTAATTGTTATTGTCAAGAGCAACTTTTGATGCTTTTCCAATACTCACTTTTTATGTGCAATGCGTACCGTTTTGTGTTTCGATAAAAGCCATAAATGTGCGTGCTTTTGTTTGAATTTTCTTCTCTGAAACGTAACGCATGTGTATGCATTTGTTTGAATTTTCTTTTTTGAAACGTGACATGCTTCCTTTATCGTTGCAGCACTAAATTACCCTAAAAATTGGTAATGGGTATCACAGATTTCATGTTCATACTCACATGGGGATGTAACAAAATATCACAGCAGCAGGATACATGTGAATTTCTGGTTGAGAAGTAAACCAGAAAATCAACATTTCCAATTTTTCATTTTACCAAATTTAATCTCGAGCATACATTTTTTTTAGAGCTTGTAAAAGTGATGGAACAAGTGGACAAAACAAGATTTGACTAACAAGAAACGTGAGGAAACTATTGTATTGGGCCTATTGGCCTAAAGAAATGCACCAAAAATAAGTGTCTTTATCACAAATATCGGATCTAAGCTAGCAAACAATTGGGTGGCGGTTTTGTATTTTAAGGACAGTCGGTGAGTCAAACCTAGCCTCAATTCTAGACTATTCTCTATCTCTCCTTCTTTTTTTTTTCAAAAAAATAAAAATAAAATTAAAACCCTTAATGGTAAAACACCATCTAATTGAAACAAACTTAATGTTTTTTTGGGGTCAAATAAACAATTAAGTCATATATACTAATTATGAAAATGGAGTCAGTGGACAGAAACAAGCAAAGCAAAGAGATATGAAAGTGGACATGCCTTGGATGGTGGTTTGTGATGTTTATGCAACTTGTTTTGAATTGAGATGGCTATTGGCCTCCTCTTTATGAAGGGATGGGAAGGGTAGATTTTAGATGGGTCATTGAAGGATGTGAGATTTTGAAGCTTTCCATAAATAGATAATATATTAATCAATATTCTATTTCTGTTGGATATGCCATGTGTCGAGGTAGTGTCATGGACACGTGTAACTTGTATTCTGTTTTTTTCTCTCTTTATTCTTGTCTGTAATTGGATTGAATGCCACTCAAGGTATGAGGAAAAAAAAGTGTATTATTACTCCATTATCTTTCGTTTTTAAAAGTCTATTTTTCAATTTTTTTTTTTTTTTTTTTTTTTAACCAAAGACTCCTTGGTGTGTCATGAAAAAGCTATGCTTCATGTATTCATATAATTTTCAACCTAAAGAGTTGTTTCTATTAGGGCAAACCTTAAAAAGGTGAAATTAAAAAGCAATGAATTTAGATATTACTGTCTACAAATAAATTATAATAACCTAATTCAACACTTAATTGTGGACCGAATAAGTAGGGATGGAGCCGGGTTAAGGCTCAAGGGTCCATGTGTCCTTCAACTTTTCAAAAATTACATTTTTATATGCATAATTTTCTAAAATTTTAAAATTATCCCCCTCAACTTTAAAATTTTTTATTTTTGTATGTATAATTCTTTTAAAATTTAAACTTTTCACCCCTAAACTTTAGCAAATTTAATTTTTGTATGTATAGTTTTATAAAATTTTAAATTGCCCTGCCTTAAAAAAATTATTACATTTTTCCCCTTGAACATAATTTTTGACTCCGTACCTGAGAATAAGTGCTTTATTGAATTAAATATATTTAATAATGCAATTTGAATATTACTTGAAAATATTTAAAATGAAGTAAAATTTTAAATAATAAGAAGTTCACTTATCATTTAATACCGAATGCTTAGAATTAAAAAATTAAAAAGACCTCTGCTTTAAATTATCTTCTAAAAACTTTTGTACTGCAAATTTAGATCTTAAAAATTTTAGTATTTTGTTTTTAATTTTATCAAAAACACCGAAAACTTCAGGTGCGGTGAGTAGTGACAACAAATGACAAATGCCCAACAGATAAGGTTCATAATTATAAGACTTCAGGTGTGGTGAGTAGTGACAACAAATGAGAAATGCCCAACAGATAAGGTTCATATGTTTAAAATGGACCAAGTTTCATAACACTTAGTTGAATACTAGTCGTCTTAGTTTTTTATTAATATTAAAGTCGTTACAATTTATATCAATTCAAATTATTTTTATCATTAGTGAGTCACCCTTACATGTAATATTATGTTTACCATACCAAAACTAATACAAATTTGTGTCAAATTGCTCTGGATTTCTATCACACCGTACCTCATAAATTAAAGTAACTCGTCATTTGAGGATGTTAAAATCAAAAAATTATCAGTTACAGTCAAGAATCCAACAATAGAGAACAACAATCGCCTTAGTAATCGCAATCCCCAACCCTACTACTAATTATGGTGTTAATGAGGTAGTTTTTTTTTGTTTTAACCATGTTAATGAGGTAGTTACACCTTTTACATAACAACTGCAAGTTTTAACTAAATTATATTTGAATAACAACATATTCCTAAAATAGAAATATGCTAATTTATACAGTTTTACAAATTATGGTCAAAACAACCTGTCTCTCCTTCCTCTTCGCTGAATTTGATTGTCCTATGATGACCTCCTCCCAATTCTCTCTATTTCACTTTTTTATTTCTCTCTTTCTCTTCCATCCTTGACGCCAGCATCTCCCTCATCGTCCTACCTTCGGACGATGAGCGGAACCTTCTGGCAACTAATTTCCGTGCTAACTAATTAAGAAAGAGGCCATAAAACCAGCATCACCACCATCACCGTCACCATCACCATTGTTAACATGTCGTCGACTATCTTGAAACCCTTTCAACTTTTGGAAATCAATGTCATATCGGGTCAGGACTTGCAACCAGTGTCCAAGAACATGAAGACCTACGCCACCGCTTGGGTACACAAGAATCGCAAATTGTCGACCCGCGTTGACAAGGAAGGCCATAATAGCCCTACATGGAATGACAAGTTCGTCTTTCGCGTTGACGAAGAATTCTTGAGTAACGACACCTCGGCAGTCATGATTGAGATCTACTCCGTGCATTGGTTTCGTGACACCCTCGTTGGCACCGTCCGTATCCTTGTCGGTAACCTCATCCCTCCCATTGCTCGAGCTCGCCGCCACCACCAGCAACACCACCTCGGAATGCGATTCGTTGCCCTCCAGGTCCGCCGCCCCTCGGGGCGACCCCAGGGAATATTGAACATTGGGGTGGCACTTCTTGACAGCTCCATGCGGAGCATGCCCTTATACACTCAGCTAAGCACATCGGCCGTTGGATATCGTGATTTGATGGGACAACAGAACTCACATCAAAATCACAATCACAACCACAACGAAAATAATCTAAGCAGCAATAAGAGTAATAACAATCCACCACATGTGAGACCGATATTACGTCGATCACGAAGCGAACGCAGTGGTCGAGTGACATTTGATGATCTTTCTACCGTAAACGGCTCTATTGCAGGGGTGGCGCGAAAAAGGTTGACAAATGGAAATGCTAGTTCGATGATCAGCGGTTCAGAATTGACGGACCAACCTAAAAGGAAGGGTAAAAAGGGAAAAGCAAGTTCCGTGATTAGCGGAGCGGAGCTCCGAGAAAAACCTAAAGAAAAAGGAAGCAAAATGAAAGCAAATTCGGTAATAAGCGGGTCGGACAATGCCAAACATGCAAAGCCCATCTCCATCAACTTCCACCACCCAAAGCTTCACGACCTGATTAAAGGAAAACCGACCCATGAAAGATTCGGGTCAGATCTCAGCGACTCAACTGTTGAAAAGCCCCTTCTCAAGCCTCCGCCAAAAGAGACCGTAATCGGCAAACCCATTTCGAAATTCGACTTCGGGCAGCCGAAAGGGAAGCTCTTATTCGGAGCCCCGGGGAAACCCAATTCGATTTGGTCGGATTCGGAAGTGGGTCCGTCGCCATCGGAGGTGGCGGCTGCGATGGCGGGGGAGAGGTACCCGCTAGACGACAATGGGAGCTCGGTGTTGGACGGATGGAGCTTGGACGAGAGCGTGGAAGGGCTACGGTCGAAGCTGGAGAGGTGGCGGACGGAGCTACCACCGCTGTACGATCGAGGCTTCTCCACCAGCACTTTCAGGTCCACCGGCCAACATGCTCGGCGGCACACCGATGGAGGAAGTGGGTTGTTCTCATGCTTCAGCAACGTCTACGGGTATGAGTGCCAGTGCATTTGCGGGAAGCCTACCCAAACTGGGAGAAGCCTTAGCGCTCGGATCTCTAGCCCGACGTTATAATTCGGGTCGGATCTTTATTCGACTCAATGACTCGATCCGACGAGAATGTTGGGGGTGTATTGGATGATGATCCAGGTTTGAATGGATTTGGAGCATGATTGCTAACATGCGCGGGGTGCGTATAGAGACCTGATCATAATATAGGTACACAACTTACTTTGACTGTTTTTTATTGGAATTTGGGTAAATATGGCTAACATGAGCTTGAGTGAAAATATAAGGGATTTGGGGAGCAAGGAAAAGGACATGTATAATATTGGTGATGAAAGGTGTAGTTGTGTTGTTGGTTAGGCCATTTCAGTAATTGTTCTTGGTCAATTAATTGGGAATTTATTTTCTCTTTTAATCATCAAATTTATGAGCATAATATATTGGCTGTTTTTTCACTCTTTATTTGTTTTAATCATCAAATACTGTATGGTTGTTGGCATTATTTGAGAAGGAAAAATTGACATTTCAAGGATTGGAAATTCTTGTGCTTGATTCAACTACAACAAGAGGAACACAAAAGTATAGAAATTGCATATATGTTATAATAATCTGATGAAATTCATCTCTAGAAAATGTTGATTTTCTATTAATTTAGGATGTTTAGTGCATAATCAATAAATGTTCTTCGTCGATTTTTAAAATAATACTATGTTTAAAGCTACAGGTTTCATGAAAATGTTCATATCACAGTGGCATAAGGATTCTAGATCATTTCTTACAGAACATTTGTGAAGGATGATGATATTTGTTAATTGAGATCATTTTTGTTTCAACAAGAATCAAATGCTTGTATTACTATATCTGACTCATGCAAACCCGTGGTTAATATTTTCTTTTAAACTAATATGACCTAAGTTTAGGAAGCTCCTTCAAAAGCTACCAAAGTCTCCAATACTTCGGTCACCAATTGACCAAGGTCTTGGTGACCTGACATCCACTAGTGAGACTAATGTCCCTTTTTTTCATTGGAAAATGATATACAGTTTAACAGTTAGGTTATAACGTTATCATGACGTTAACTCTGATTTACACAAAAATAGTCAAAATTATATAACGTTATCATGACGTCAACTCTGATTTATATAAAAATAGTCAAAATTATCTTGATTATCTTTTTCAATTGATTCTCAAACAATAATTGATAATGTCATCATTATGTACATTCTTACTTTAATAAAAATAATCGGAATTGTCCGACAATCAAACTGCATGCATGTCATAACTCTTTCCCAATTGTCTATCATGCAATTGCCTTCCCTATGGGCCATATCTATTGCATTTGTCCAAGCATAAGACATTCTCATTGATATTTAACTTTTTCAATTACATTGTATGGAGCATTGGGCAACAAGAGAAGATATGATCTTCATCTTCTAATGTATAAACATTCTTTTCCCACAAGAAAATTGTATTAACAAGAATCGTTTTCATAAAAGTATTCACATAAAACATTTTCTTGCAAAAAGAAACAAATAAAATAGAAGAAAATCAGAAAACGCCATCCTAGGATATCATATTTAATTAACTCTTGTGCTTATTATTAAAAATTATTTTAACAATTAATTCACGTGTTCAATTACAATGATTTATTTAATGGTATTAAACTTGTCATATAGTTGGTCAATAGCATCATTAGATCGAAACCAACTCAATTAGTCACTTAATGTATCATGATCATTGACATTCCAACATTAATAAATTCTAGGTAGTAATAATACATCATTAATTCCCATAGTATTTGTTTATAATATGTGACTCCCCATAATACATGTTTCCTAAGTTATTGATTTCAAATGATTTTGTTTAATGCCTTATTAGTGATACTCCACTTAACAACATACAACTAATAATCTATTATTACAAATTATTCATTATCATCTTAAAACCCTTGATGAATTTTGTAGCTTTTGCCACCAACTTGTATCATGGCCATGGGCTTTTAAATCAATACCAATAATATTTATTAGGTTATCTCTATTGCCAATGTTTCCACAAGAGTAATTGATGATTTCAACTATTGTATTCACTACTTTCACATTTATATATTAATTTAATTGCTTAGTGTTGGCTTTGACAGTTTGACCCTAGTACATTCTTTCCATGAAGGGACTTTAAAGAGTGTGTGTGTGTATATGAGTTTAAGAAATGGATTGAATTTCATGAGACTATAAACAGTTCTTAGTTCTTAATATTTCGCTCGTCTCATAATAAATGTTATGTATTGAAAAACGTGACTTAATTATGAAACAAAGGGAGTAATTGCAATTCTTAGTTCTTAATATTTCGTTCGTCTCATAATAAATGTCATGTATTGAAAAACGAACTTATTATGAAACAGATGGAGTAATTGTTAATCATAGTCAAGTATTCAAACATAAACATTATTTATTTATTGTATGTGTCTATGATGTAAAAAACTAAATACAATATTTTATTAGTAAATATAGTTCGTGTTAATTTCAAATTGTTATCAACTTACATACGACAAACTTTTTTTTATCAAATTCCGACAATCTAAATTGTATGTAAAGAAAAAATTTAACCTTACAAATCGTAATGAGTATGCAACAATTAAAATTGAAATCCAGTGTTATTTAAACAATACTGGGGTTTAGAGTTGGAGTGGGTGATCTGAAATATCGTAGTACTCGTTGATGCTATCCCTACTTTTCGCCAATAATTAATAAAAATATCTTCTTGTATGGCAAGGAAAAGAAAAGAAAAATTATGAGCACTAAGAAATTTGTAGAAAAATATACAAGTGTGAGTGAATTGTTGAAGTGATAACTTATGAATAAGAACTTTTAATAAAAATGTAAATCATATGTTATGCTAGTAATTAATTAGGGTTGATTCACCAAAAGAAAAGATAGAAGACACTATAGTATATAACATTAAAAAGTAGGAGTAACATAGGAAGAGTACTGTTATATGTGAGCCCCACCAGTGTGACTCAGATAAAATAAAAATAAAAAAAATGCTGAAAATTTTATTAATCATGTTTCTTTTGTTTTGATTACTTGATTAATTTTTTGTTTTGGGAAAAAAAGGTAAAGTAAATTAAAAATAAAAAATAAATAAAAAAGGGTGGTGGAGGAGCTCAAAGGTGGGGGCACTCGATGAGGTTGCTTAGTTGGTAACACCGGTGGAATAATAAAATGGAAAGTAGTGAGTGTTAAAAGGAAAGGCAACAAAAATGGGTAAGCGCGGCGGCCAGACACAATGATGCTGCGTATCCAAACATTTCAGCTCTCTCATTATTAGAATCTTCCCTTTTGTGGGCCTATTAAAGCCTATTTCCGTACCCTCCTCTATATATATACTTATATAATATGTGTATATATATTTAGATAATATGTGTACATATTTAGAGTAAGAATATGGACTTGATGAACTTAACCTTAGGTTACCATTGAGAACATTGAAAAACAAAAAAAAAAAATTAGTACAAGAAAAAAAAATACTAATTATGTTTGAAAAAGGAAGGAAAAAAATTATTTTAATAAATTTTACCATTATATCTTTTTTCATAAATTTTATCGGGTAGATTTGATATTAACGAATTTTTATTAAAAATGTTAATATTACTTTTTTTTCTTTTTTATTAGACTCTATTCATTGGCACAGGACAAAAATATTTTGTTTTTGTATGGTTACTCTTTTTATGCATGTCATATGAAAGAATGCAATAAGATGCATCACAATTACATCACTAGTGCAACACTAGGAATATATTTGACGTGAAAATGTAATCCTTGTATAACAAATTAATTATATCTAAATGTAATAATGTAACAAATTTTAGTGGTAAAATACAACACCTTGCATTGAATTTACATTTCTGGTGTATATATAAATTATGAACCCGTATTATTTATTAACTTAGTTAACAGAGTAGACTAATTTCTCAAATGGGTGTATTCGTGTAGATGAAATATATATATATATATATATATATATATGTATGTATGTATATGCATATGTGTGTATATGTATACACAAATTACGATCAGAGCACTCATATATAAAAATAAATGTACTAGTATTTTATCTTGATTAAAATTGTTAAAAGAGTTTGTCCTAAAACCGCAGGACCCATTTTTTTTATGAAGGCTGTCCCCATATGACCCAGTCAGCCGCGCACCCTGTCGGCCAACGTGGCACTCTGCTAATGGACGCAGGCACGTGACTTCTTGCCCACCTTTGTTCAGTTGTCCCTTGACGAGACAGCCTCTTACTTTTTGAATCCTATGATAATTACTCCGATAACTCGCGTCTTCTCTCTCGCGATATTTTGATATCACCATATTTTATAGTAACAAAAAAGTACAAATAATTCAGTCTGTTTGAGTATACCGCATCTAGTACTTTCAATTTCAATTAAATTTAGTTTTTCTTTCTTATTTGTTTAAATTTTTACTACATCGTTTTGTTAATTTATTTAGGCAATTTTTATACATTTCATTGGATTATATTTCTTATTAACAAAGAGAACATGCAAAAATACTCTAATATATGGTGGGAGTTCAAATTTTTTTATGCTTGTGCATATTGGTGAATTATAAAATACCCTAAAAAAACTCAGCAACACCATCATTCATTAACTTAAACCTTAACAGCTAAAAGTATAACATAATTATTTTTTAGTCTACTACTTTTCATGAAGCAATATAATTAGACAATACACCACATTTAAATGCTATATATATATATATATATATATATATATATATAATGCCATGATTCTCTATTCCCTTCATTCACAGAACAATCTATATCAAAGATTATATTCTTGTGGAATAATTTGTTCATTTTTTTTTTCTTTCTTTTTTTTTATATTTTTATTTTTTGGGGAACAATTTGTTTAGTTGTTGTGATCCCTTAATTGGACACTTGACAACTATAAGTACATGGTACATATATAGTATTATATATATTCTTAGTATCAAATGCTTTTTCTTGCTAGTATATTTTTAACACCTTTATTGATAGGTCCACAGGCCACTGGTGAGGCATCTGTTTGGGTCTCTGCTTTCTAAAACAAGGATTTGTGCTGATTGTCTACTAAATTGAGGACACCACATTCAAAGAAAGAGAGAAGTAAAATTAGAATACTCTTTTCCTGGTTAAAAAACACAAACTTTGGACCTTTAACCTTTGCTTTTTTGCTAAAGCATGGACACCTAAGTTTGGATTAAAGGTTTGAATATTGAAGGTTCTGACATTTTTTTTCTTTAATTAATACTATAATTAATTATCATCTAGGGTTTTGGGGTTCTGTAACAAACCCTATTTACTAAGGTTTAGTGTTAGGGTAGTGCCTTAATAAATCACTAAGCAAATTCTTGAACAATTAAATATATTCTTAATTAGCTTTTGTGACTTCCTTTTCTTTCTTATTTAATTTCAACTAAGCACTCTCTTTAGCTTAATTAAGTGCATTATCTAGATACCCAATTGAAAGGACAAGAGGATCAAGATTCATGTGTTGGAAATTTTATATCAAATTTCATTTTCAAAAAAATTATATATATTATTGAACTTTCAATCCTTTTAAATTTATATCATGAATAATGATACAGAACTAACAGTCAGAGCAACTTTCACTGTTATTATGTGAGTTGAACATGACGTCATTTTTATTAACTTTTACGCTCACTGATTCCTAGTAAAGTTGCAGTTTTAAACTGTTAAATTAGTGAAATTATCAACCGTATATCATATTTCTTATGTTATTTTTAATCAATGGTAAAAGCGTAGCTCATTTGACGACAAAAAGTTTAAAAGAGGAATAAAATTATAAGTATTTGGGTTAAGGTGTAGAAACTTGCAGTGACATAATTATTTACCATAATTATTTAACATTATTTATGTTTATGTGCATGCATTAAAGTTGCTTTAGTAGTTATAATTGGAGTTACTATTCGGTTTGTGGTCTTGATTTATGGTTACAATTAGCATATATTGGTCGGCTTAGCTTTATAAGTTTTCAGATTAGAAAGTAAGATATTGTTTTCCTAGAGAATCCACATTGGGTTAATTCACCGCAGTTGGTCACTTGTGGGGGTGATGAAGTGGCATGCCATTGGTGAATACATAAATGTGAAGATTATTGGGGATTGTGATGGTTAATCACAATCCTTAGTGTGTGTGTGTTTTTATTTTATTTTTTTTCTTTAATTTTATGAAAATAATGGGTAACAAAAGAGAAAATAGTTGCTTCTTATATAAGTTGAGAAAGAAAATAGTAATTCATTTTTTTAGGAGTGCATGTTAATGTAAGCAAAGCAAAAAATTATTCAAAAACAACCAATTTAGGATTGATGGGACAAAATGACAGAGAGATAGTTAGTGATATAATAAATAAAATTGAATTGAAAAAAAAAAAAAAAAAATAGAGACAAGATAGTGGGATATTATGTGACAAAAGAGTTATACGTAGGCTAAAAGAAATTTTTTATATGTTGAATTCTTAAAATAAAAAAAAATAAAAAAATAAAAAAAAAAATACCTTCTGTTGCTAGCTGAAAGGAGAATGTTAAAGATAGATTATTAGAAAAGATGGGGATTACTAATAAAAGTGTGAGCGAGAAATTATGTGCGACACCCATTGGAGAAAAGATTAGACAAAGTAAACTTAGATGGTTTTGATCTCTATATTTCAAATAGTCAAATGTGGAAGATTATTTGTAATAGAAGGTAAGGGGTTGGAAAAAATAAAAATAACGTAAAATAAAGTTATTAAAAGTAACTTTAAAATTTTGAATATAGTAGGTGAAATAAAACATAATAGAAAAGATTGAATGAGAGAAAATTCATATAACTATCCATTTACATGATATTAAAATAAGAATGATGATGTTAATGTTGATATAAAAACAGTGCTTACGGTATATTTCATCGATTCTAGGCATTCATGTACCAGTACTAAAGTCTATTATCGAGAATGTTTAGATAGAAGAGACTGAACACTAGCAAACAACATTTCTTATGCCCTTCAAATTTTGAGGAAGAATGTCCCAATTAACTGTATTGAAAAAATCAGTAAAACGTGTAATGTTGCCATCATTGTCACGTAATCTAAAAATAAATGTCATGTGTTCCAAACAAGTGAAGCATTTGGACACACTGTTTCATGTCTCTGCAATTTTCAGACTCCTTTTATATGTTCGAGGAAAACACACAATGACACACACATATATACAATGTATATAGATACTCTATAGAGACGACATGAAGCAAAAGCAAAGAAAATAGGCGAGAAATTGAGATGGGTAAAAAGTGGAGAAACAGAGTAGGAGTAGAGTAGAGTGCTGGGTGCACTAGGAGACATGTGGGTCCCATGACCATCACTCCTTCCACCACCAACTTCCCCTTTTCCTTCCCTCCTTCCTCCCTGCTTTTCGCTTCTCAAACAAACATTACTAGTACTACTACTACTCTGTTTGTTTCTCTCTCCTATTCCTATATACTACCTTTTTCTTGAGCTCTGCTAAACCCTTTTAATTGAAGCTTCCATCTCTTGTATTGTGTATGTTCTCATGGAAACAACTTTAGGCTTACTTGGTACTGGTGGTGGTGGTGGTAGTGAAGACAAAGTAGACTATGTGGGTATGTCGTCCTCATACCCAAAAGAGGCTGAGCTTGAGTTGGGTCTGGGGCTGAGCATCGGTGGTGGTGGTGGTGGTGGAGGTGGTGGTGGTGGTGTGAAGTCTAATAATAAGGGGTCTCATCCATGGGGTGAGTATGGTAGGATATTGACAGCCAAAGACTTTCCCACTGCCTTTTCATCACCAAGACCTAATGCTAATGCTAATGCTTCTGCTAGTGTTGCTGTTTCTGGGACAAAGAGAAATGCTGACTCTGTTTCCTCTCCAGAGGTTGGATCTGCTTCTGCTTCTGCTTCTGCTTCTGTCAGGTTGGGTTTTTTCTCTTTCTTTCTTACATAGAAACAACATGCAATCTGTTTCTTTCTTACATAGTCATCCTTTTGTCTAATTTGTTCCTGATTTAGTTCAGTCTATTTTGATGGTTATATAAAGATTTTTTTTTTTTTTTTTCATGAGTTTTCGTATTTAATTGGATCATATTGGGGTGTATTTATTATTATTATTATTTTTTTTTTTTATGGGAATCCTTAGTTCATCAATTTTTCTTGTTTGCTTTGTCTTTCTCTTGTTACCTGTCTTTTATTTATGAGTTTATTTATTTTTTGATATGAATCATTATGGATTTGTGTCCTAAATAGTTTCTGATTTCCTTCTTATTCAATTTTTTTATTTTTTTATTTTTTGATGGTCATATCAGAAGTTTGCTATGGTTCTATGCTTATTGCTTGATCTACTTCTATTCGGCTTTTCTCTTTTGCAGTATTTCATTCTATTTGCATCATTAAGATATCATCTTTTACACCCAACCAAAAAATAAAAAACAAAATAAAGAGAAAAAAAAAAAAAATTATATCCATTTTTTGTTTGTTGGTTGGTTTTTTTTTCCCCTCTTAATTATCTTAATTCTTTAACATTCTATGTAATAAATAAATTAGCCCTTGTTTCTTAGATAGCTCAGTCTGTGTGTTTGTTATTAGTTCCTGTATTTTTCTTTTAGTGTTTAATTTGTTCCACTAATTGCCTGAGGCTATGGCCTTAAATAGAGCGAAATAGAGTGAAATTGAAACATAGGATTCATGTAGACTCCAATTAGTTGGGAAAAAGGCTTGGTTGTTGTTGTTGTTGTTGTTGTATGTTTGTTCCACTAATTGTTGGATTGTTGGTAGATTGAGTTCTGCATACTCTGTATCGCTATTCTTCCACACACACACACACATAAAGAGTCATACATACATATGCTTGTGTATGTGTGTTTCTCTATGATGGATTGGCTTATTTAATGCTATATTGGTTCTTTCTGTGAGCAGCCAGGTTGTGGGATGGCCACCTATAGGGGCTTACAGAATGAACAGCTTGGTTAACCAAGCAAAGACTCCAAATGCTGAAGAAAATAGGGGAGAGGGCGGGAACGAAAAAACTAAGGATGTTTCAAAGAAGAAAATCAACCATGGAAACGGCAAAGGCCATACTACTATGAAGGAAAAAGGACACCTTGGGTTTGTGAAGGTGAATATGGACGGAATCGCGATAGGAAGGAAGGTGGATTTGAATGCTCATTCTTGCTATGAGACATTAGCCCAAACTCTAGAGGAAATGTTCTTCAAACCCACCACAACAATTGGTTCTCTTCGTAAGCAACATGCCCTGTTTGGCTAGTTTCATTAGCAATGAGAAAACAAATGATTTTTCTATTTAGTTCATCTTATCTGTAGTGAAATAAGTTGTGTAGTTGTTGCTTATATTATTTTATGATAGTGAAATTGGGCTTTTGTCATTAGGGTCTGGTGGAGAGAAGGAACAAGCAACAGAACCCTCTAAGCTTCTCGATGGATCGTCTGAGTTTGTGCTCACTTATGAAGATAAAGAAGGAGACTGGATGCTCGTAGGAGATGTTCCGTGGGGGTATGCACCTTATTATACTCAGTAATACATATTTATACTATGAGTTAGCGTAAAACCTCTCTAAAAAGAAAGGCATGAAATGGATACAAATTTAACTAACCATAGGTAGTGTAAATATAATCAGCCTATAAAAAATGTTGTTTTGGTTTGTGAGATAAATGAGCAAATGCATCAGAGGCTATGTGCTAGGCAATTGTTATACTCTTTTGGTGGATTTAAAATAATTTAACATAAAAATAGTTGACATATTGAGGCATGATCATGTAACAGAACTACTTGCTGCTTTGCTTGCAATTAACGTACTTTATGGTATGGTATTTTGATCAACAAACACTATGCTTGGATTCTTAATACCAAATAACTCCAACCCGCGATGAATACCTGCATAACTGGGAAAAAAATAGAAATAATAATTTTGGAGTCTCTATTGCTAATTATTCTAATGCTTACAGTATGTCTCTCTATTTCTTTGTTCATTAGGATGTTTCTCGGCACTGTGAAAAGGCTTAGGATCATGAGGACCTCTGAGGCTAATGGACTTGGTACGTATGAGTTCGTATTCAAACATTATTTTATCTAGCTTTCTGGCTTTCTGCTTGCTTTGCTTTCTCCTCATTCTAAGTCAAGTCATTGTTTTATCCAACAGCTCCAAGATTCCAAGAAAGAAATGAGAGACAAAAAAGAAAGCCCATTCAGCATCATTAATGCCGCTTTCTATTAATCTCAATTAAGAAGAAGAAAATCCACAGTTTGAAAAGGAAAAATTGAATAGAAGTAAAGAAGATGGAGAGTCGAAGCATTTTTTGCCAAGAATGATTTCCCAATGCCGCCTTCTTTTTTTCTCTTCGGTTCTCACACTTTTTTTATTCCTTCCTGTAGTCGTATCCCATGTAGTTTTTAGTCTCTCTTCCTTTAGTGCCACACACACTGCATACTTTGCTGAATGCTACTTTCTCATACTGTAAATATGGGAATGCTCTAAATCTAGTGTTCTAAGTTTGTCGTAGTCGAGTGCTTCTCTTGTTTTGTGTTTTTTTTAGTTTTTTTTCCTCCTCTTTTGTGTTGTTGATGAAACAGAAGTTTCTGTTATTCTTTATTCTGTTGGTTGTTTGTGTTCATTTTTCATTTCACCTGCTAGTTGTTGGTCATGTTCTTATATGATATCTGAGAGATTTTTATGGTGTTTATTTATTTTTTGACTTGGAATATTTAGATAGATCCTATCTCAAGTATAGGATTAACATAAGATTCTTTTGAGTTTGTTGTTCTAAGTTTTTCTGACCATTATTAATATATCTTTTGATGAAATCTTTTTATTTTTCGATTATATAATATTTTTGCAGTTTTAAATGGCATGTTGTTCTTGTGAGGCCTTTATATAAAAAATAGGGAAGAGTAGTGAAAATGTAGGTTCTTTTTTAATGTGTAGTAATCAAAATATTCAGGTTATTGAAGAAGAAACACATGATTAGAAGCAGCCAACAACTGGAACACACTAGTGATTGCAGTTAGAGCCCAACAACTGGAAAGCTCAAATAGCATCATGTCACTTTTCATTTGTTTTAAGCCAATACCATAATATGGGGCAAGGTAAAAGAAGGGTCACAATTGTGTCCACCTTTGAAGTAAGCTTAATAATGTGGATGGTACAGTGTGGACCAATTATAAATCAATTGATCCTGCTTATTTGAATGGTTGGGTTTGTTGATTGATGGTCCATGATATCTAAGTGCATGCTCTTGCCACTTTGTTCTTTTTATTTCCTGCAATTTCATATGGGATCAGAATTTTCTCCTGTTCAATTTTAGGTCTTAAATCATTCCGGTTAAATCAACGATGCAACAACTTTAAATCCTTTAAATCAATAACGTAATAATTATGTAAAGGTGTTGAATTCTCAATTAAAAGGTGGTGGTATAACGTTGCAACTTGATGTAATATGTTGCATGTGTATTGCATCATTTACGCGATATTTATATTGTTGTTGCGTGGGTATTGCATTGGGATGACGCCCAGAAGAGTTTCCAAGTCCTCTTATATAGGAGATTTTGTCCTTATTTTGCTGTGATGTGATCTTGGTTGTTGACAAGTTAGTTTTTTTCTTTTTTTTTTGCCATTGCCAAAAGGTCCCTTCATTATGTTTTGTGCAGGTAATTTTAGCCGCTTAAGTTGGTACATTTCTCTGCAACATATTTTGCTTTGTTTTTTTTTTTTCCATTGCCAAAAGGTCCCTTCATTATGTTTTGTGCGGGTAATTTTAGCCACTTAAGTTGGTATCTGCAAGATATTTTGTTTGGTGACCATCTTCTTGTTCTTTTATGCCCGAAAGGACCCATCAGCTTGTGTGTGGCACACAGCTTAGGTACAATGATTGTCATTGGCCTACAAATCTCTTTGCAACAAAAAAGGAACAACCAAAATCACCATGCTTGAACAAATACAATCAACAAAATATTTCTCTTTTTCGGACACTAAAAATGGCCTCCACTTCCAAAAAGGGCATGTGTTGTTACAGTTCAACCAAATCATTTTTCTTCTTTGGAAGTGACATATTGAAGTGTGGTTTTATATCTTTTACAGCTTTAGCATAACAATCATAAGCAACAACACAAGTTTATTGGCAATTTAGTAGAAATCTTCACTTTGAGAAGCTGCTTCCTTGCACAACAAAATGTAACATTCCACCAAGACTAAAAGCATAAATCAATGACAATTACAGAACCCTTTACCACTCAGTCTGGGAAAGGCAAAGTAGTAGTATCAAGAAAGTGGCATTTTCACCAACTAAAGCATTTTTCACGTTAGGGCTAGAAAAGTTCCAAGCAGCAGACCTGCGTTTGAACTAGTAGTTTTTGATGTAGCAAACATTCTGATTTTTAGGGTTACGCAGACATATTTTAAGATTCCGGAACTAATTCGGCACATTCCTCTGTTATTTCCTCACATCCTTTCTTTTTGTTACCTACTCTTTGCATTTAAAAAAGAAGTACCGATAGCCATTCAACGAAGAGGGTAAAACCTACAGGTAACAACCCATGCCTTGAGCAATTTATTATATAAGCATTCTCACTTCAATATTACAGCATACCGTTACATCTCTAATATGTTCATTGCCTTGATTACTCGGATTAAATTATAATACTCTCAAAGAACTATCTCAACGGGCAGATATTTAAACAATCATAGCATACAAAAAGGAAAAGATATAAGATACAGAACCTAATATGTTTTCATACAGCGCCTCGATTAAAGTTCAAGCAGTACACAATACACAGATATCATAACGTGTCGTGATCAATGGCCTACTGCAGAAACTCTCTGGGATCCGTCACAAAACCAGTCAAAGCAGATGCTGCTGCTGTGTATGGTGAAGCTAAATAAATCTGGCCTTCTCTGTGCCCCATTCGACCAGGGAAGTTCCTATTAGTTGTTGAGACACAGACCTGCAGTTATAAGCCAAGCCATTCACAAGACTAGTAAATATCCTATAATATAATGGAGACATCATCCATTTGCCTTACAAGTTCATATCTATCAATATAAACGGATAAAAGAAGAAAACTTTGGGCCAGAAATAGCCTCAACTTGTTATAGCCACAGGCAGTTATTGAGTCTAAACATGCTGTTTCTTTATCAGCAAAGAAAGTGGAGTCTTCTGCTTGTTAGGAAGAAAATAAATCGTCGTTGCCAATGTACCAATATTTTCATTAGTGAAAGTAGAAAATGACGTGGGAACACGATACCACTCCAGGATTAATTTTTTCCAAGTACCAAACAGCCTATTTATTAAATAACTATCCTACTGCAATGTAAAGCAATATATATATAATGACTCAAGGAAAAGTTTATAAAAAGCAAAGTGGATTGAACAGCTTGATTACAGCCCAAGAGCCAGTGAAAAGAGGCACCGTTTCCCGAGACCTTGCAACAGCTCACTAATGCACTCTCAAGACATGCAGTGGCTATAATCTCATCCTTTCTATATATTGGCTCATACAGATTGGCCTCAAAGACTTTCTGTCACAGATATTGAAGCTACGACGCTAACTAGTCATATAATCCAGCTCACAGTTTTATGATATCCTTAGTTCACCAATTAATCTGGGATCCAATAACAAAAAACGAATAAGAAAAAGAATTGACTTGCCTGAGGTTCATTCAATCGTGCATAAGTGTCTCTAGGACCACCCAAACAAGCACCACAACTAGGACTTGCAGGTGTATCACAACCAGCTTCTTCAAATATTTGGGAGCAAGTCTTGCCACCAGATCCTGGAACTGGAAGGCTATATATGTCCATCCACACCTAAAAAATTCAACATATGAATTCTTCGTTATTTTCTTGACCATTAATAAACTATTTTTTGTATTCCTATTGCATAAATGTTACAACTTCAGCACTAAAACATTATTAACCTTTTGGGTAGCAGGGACAAGGAATGTGGGAACTTTGACCTTTTTGCCCTGCATATAAAAAGATAAAATTTTTAGCTCAACAGGAATAAGAATATCACATGCCTCTAAATATTATTTGGTGTCTAGGTTCCATACTTCTCAGAAACGCAAGTAAATAAGCAATCAGAGATAAAACCTTTATATCCCCGAAAGGGATGGTGTGCATTGAGTAGTATCAAACTGGATCAGATGGGGACACACACTAAAAGGTGAATTCCCACATGCCTTTCCAAGAAAGGAACCATCAAAGAATCATATGGATTACCATAAAATATAAATAATTCCTAGTCACAATGCACACAATACACTTACATTTGAAGCAGGTTATAGCGTCCATATATACTAATAATACTACTGAAAAAAATGTAGTAGTGTGAAAAAACAAAAATAAATTGCTATGGTGCAGTGTTGGTCCCACTGATAGTTGCTAAAGATAAGGTCTGTACCCATTCCACCACTCCTCCACTTCTATACAATAAAACATGAAATAATATGTGCAAATTCGGCATAGTGCACTACTGTTTATTATCAGACATGTAGGTTTTACCAAATGCTTCCCTGATATGCAGCTGGGAATTTCTCTCTTAAAATAATCAAATATAACTGAATTCCAACCCAAGAAAGTATGTGTGTTAAAGAAGAATAGTCGTGTTCAGATGTTAATTCTGTCAGCATCAAACAATCAAAACTCCGATGAAAAGGATAAATAAACAATAGAGATATTGTGTCTTACGGAAGCTAGAAAAACTTTGGCTGCAGCTAGAAAATCCTCAGTTTTCCCACCAGTACAAGATCCAATATACACCCTGTCGATTTTCACGTCTTTGCATTCTCTCGCTAAAGCACGATTATCAGGAGAATGAGGCTGCAAAACATGGAATATACTACTCACTAAGAAAAAGATAATGCTAAAACTCTTTCGATCATTTAAAACATGGACAAAATACTTATCATGTAATAAATTACTCTGTTCTTCTACAGAGAGAGTATTTCATAAGACAGAATTATATTACTTAGGATACATTTAGTTCTCAACATGAATGAGGGAGATCAAGGGAAATGTTCAAATATAGCTTCCTTTATATAGCATTTTCCTTTTCCTTTTTCATCTTCTTTCACAAATGAAACAGTGGTTAAGTTACAATGCAACTCACTTTTGCCACCACTGGCTCCAGTTTTGAGATATCAAATCTGTACTCCGAGAGAAATCTAAAAGAAATCAAAGTAAGCATATCAGTATAAATTACATCTTAAAGATAACAATGGAAGAAATCAATATTTAACACAGATCTTGAAGGAACATAATACATAGATATAATTTTTTCTTCCAATACCATCACCTATACATATGAAACATCAATAATCTTTCCTAGTTTACATAATTACTCTCTCTCTCTCTCTCTCTCTTTCTTTTCTTTTCTTTTCTTTTTTTTTTTTTTAACAATTTTGAATCACACCTAATATAAGTTTTTCAACTGAATATTTTTACCGTGCCAAAATTGAAAATAAACCAAGTCTAAACATGAAACATGACCATAGTATCGTTGAAAAGATTTCATTTAGCCGTAAACCACAATGTCATGAGAAGCAGACATTGCATTTCAGTGTGAAACCGAGATTTTCAGCTGAATTTCCAACCAAATCAATCTTTTTAATATAATAAGAATTTGCATTCCCAAATTATTTGATGTATTTTTATAATTGTGTTAGCTTTATTTTTTGGCTGCAATCTTCAAATTAACTTTTTGGCTACAATTCTCACATTTTATTTGATGTTCCGAAAATATGTGTTAAAACAAATTACATACTTTTCGAACATCAATAGGCATTTAAACGAAAGAAAAAAGAACCATGCATTGCATTGGTACATGGTGTCCAAGAGGGTTTGTTGTCATCATAATATTAAATAAATAAATAATATAATCCACTCAAATAATAATAAAAAAAAAGGTAGGAAAAAAAAACCTCCATATTGTTCTTCCTTTTCTCCTTCATGGTTCATCATTTAATACAGAATTAAAGACTTGAGCTCATAAACACGTCTTTCAAATGATGAAAGAAGTATCATTGAATCAGATATTCACCAATGGAAAACAGAGTCATGATCAAAAACCACTCTTTTCTCAGACAAGGGGAATAAAAGAAAAAACGAAAAAGGAACTACAGGATAAATACAGATTTCTTAAAATATTAAAAGGAGTCAACTACAACTTTTTGAGCAACAGGTATCCAACCTTGACAATATGGACTTGTTTGCCCAACTAAAATATTCGGAGCAGACAGCAAAGAGTTTCAATAGTTGGAACCTTAGATTTTCATGCATAAATCAGTGAAGACGGAAATCTGGAAAGTCCAGCATATGAATTTCTACAGAATAGAAATTGGTAATGTTTTATATATGACCACAAAGCAAGGTTATTAGGATTGGGATGCTACAATGGATTGATGGGGGGGACCCATTAGGATCGGATCGAGGATTTTAGGGTCCTAAAAAATAAGACCAGAACTATATTTATAGTTATAAAATTCCTAAAATAAACATTACAAGAAGCCTGAACACAAATATATATATATATAATCAGACATTGGGAACATATAAGTATGCACAAGTTCACCCAAGCAAATTAGAGAATTTAAATCAAAAGGTAGAATCCTCACACCAACATTAACAATTAAAAAATTGTAAAGTTGTTCACAAGGATGAAGTATTTGATTAAACTATAATTTTTGCTGATGCTCCAATTCTGAATGGATCATGTTGAAGTATTGATTTTTGCCATCAAACGCAATGAAAAGAAGAAACTAATCATACTTCTTTGGGGTGTCCAAAGATCACGTTAAGTAATGTACTTATGTTCTCCCAACAAATATATAGAAGAGGAGGAGGAGGTTCTAGCAGTAGATGAAGGATCCAACTGTCAAGGCCTGTAGCCTTTTGGTATCTTTTCTCCTTTCAAAGTGAAAGGTAAGAGGTTCAAGTATTCCCAAGAGCATTGTGGGTGTACATTGCCAGGGGGAAAAAAATACGGGATCCAACTCTCAATTACCTTGCTTTCTCGTCACTATAAACTGGTTCATAGGGCATAGACGTCTTATCCTGAGCAAAAGAAAGAATAAATTCGTAAATATTGGTTCAGGCAATTTAGTTTCATAATGAGCACATAGAAGAACTCCATTCCTTTGTAGGAGTACACAAACAAGAAAGAAGCCCTAGGTGGACAATATAGTTGCATAAAAGCAGGAACACAAGGAAAGAGTTAAAACGGATTTGATGATGGTAGCACTAACCTCAAGGTACTTATATGTAGTACCATCAGCTGGGACAACACCATTCTTCCCCCCAGCTTCAACAACCATGTTGCACAGAGTCATCCTTTCCTCCATCTTTTCAATGCAAAATAGTAGAACTTATAACATGTTCCAGTGCAGTGTGTTTAAGTAACTCAAACAGAAATATGTTAGATACTTGCATTGGGAGATCATGTACTTACTGTTAAACTTTCAACAGTAGTTCCAACAAACTCCATTGATTTATATGTTGCACCAGACACAGATATTTCACCAATAATCTGCAATGCCAAAATCATAGAGTGAATCACTGAAAATTAAAGATCCACAATGATTAAAATAAAAAATAAACATAAACCTATTTTGCAGATCTTATAGATGTAACATTTCTTTAAGAGAACGAATTATGCCCACGCAAGGAAGCAAATGCCTCAACACCCAGGCAAACTTACTTGCAAAATCAAATCCTTAGCGAGCAAATAATCAGGCATTTCACCATCCATTACAAATCTCAAAGTTGGAGGCACCTGAAGTTTAAAGATGTGAGGAGATTAAAGGCATTAAAAGCAAGCAGTAACAGAGGATTAAACAGTGTCTAAATACTAACAGATAAACAAATACCCTTGACATGATTTGGTAACCACACAAAGCTAATTGAAAATTGTCAAAGCATTTATAAAGCAGCGAAGTCTTTACAGTAGTAATTCTAGTTCTGTCTACAAATATCTTTGTGTATGCGATTTAAAGACTAAAATAAATTCTTGAGACTTAAAAAAGGCAATACCACAAATGTGCAATTGTAATTTTGGATTCATAAGAGACTTGTGGCCAGATAAGAAACATTCTCTCCATTAAAAACTCCATATCGTGGGCATTCAAATGGTTAACTCACACTGCCAGAATAGTGAAAGCTAGAATACTATGACACATGAATCCATAATATGTTGAAATTCAGAACTTCAAAGCAGCAAAAGAAGATCTAAGGAAACTCAGAAATTATTCTCAGACATCTTGCATGCAATAAAGGAGTATAAAAACCGCAAAGAATGTCAACTTTAGGTTCTAGCAGGAGAACAATATGATAATCTTAGCAAATTAAATTGTAGATTAAGAATGTTAATAACTGGAAGACTAAAGTTAAAAACATGAAGAAATATTATACTAAAGCACCAAATGAACAAAAATAATTATTATAATTATTTCACTGAATCACAAAGTAAGAGGGAAAACCAAAGCATGAATTTGAGTAATTCAATCCACATATGATTCACTGAACAAAAAGAAAATGTCACATAATCGCTTAATTTAAATATCATAAGAAAAGGAATATATGCAAACCTTAAGCAAAAGCTTTCCAGTCCCCAACACAAAGCCTGCATCTGTATTTCCAATCCCAGTAGCAAACTGACCAAATGCTCCTGCAGTACATGTATGGGAGTCTGTACCTAGAAGGACCTGAAGGCAATAATTTCCAAGGGATCGACAGTTAATATAGACATGAAAGTGTAAAAATGTTCCTAAGTTTTAATAATCAAGAAATGTTCGTAAGTATTAATAATTCGAACATTGATACAGAGAGAGAGAGACAGAGCACCTCTCCAGGTCTGCAATGACCTTCTTGGGCAAGAGCAACATGGCATACACCTTTATAATCTGGGTTAGCCTGTAGAGTCATTAAGTGAATTTTATTTTCCATTTATAAAGACATATTTAGCCTTTATAATCTGAGTTATGGAAAAGACAATAACCAGTTTAGCAAGATATATTCACAGTTGGCATCTCAAAAAGCATCTTGAAAGACTGGAAACCTATACCTTGAAATTCCCAAGATCCTTAATATCATAGAAGTACTTAATATTTTGTTCAGTGCAGAACTCCCTTAATATATCCACATTACGATTTGCTCTATCGTCACTTGTGAATATATAGTGGTCAGGTATAATTACAATCTTTTCACGGTCCCAAACCTGCAACGTTGAAGAGAAAGGAAGCGTAAAAATTAGACATGATTTTTCTTTGATTCTTTTTTAAGAAGAGTGAGGGAAAAGAAAAATGACAAAAAAGGAGAAGAAAAATGTCATCAATTAGGAACTGCATAAGTTCTAAAACTCAAGGCAAACCTAGTATGGATGTGATATCAAAGAAAATGACATAAAAATGAAAAATAACATCTCATTCCAAATAAAATAAATAACAATAACGTGATAATAAAAAGAAATCACTGAATTTAAGTGTTTGTGTGACAATATGTTGTACTTGTAACCAAGGGCCTTGTGGCCCAGTGGTATCTCCTCTACCTCTCAAAGTGGATGGTGAGGGTTCAAGTCTCCAAAGGAGCAAAGTGGGTGTGTGAGTTTCTTGCAAATGAAAAAAAAAATATGCTGTACTTGTAACTTATAAGTATATAGCCAATTCACTTCCTTTATGATGAGAATATGATGGATTTAATAATTAATAAACTCAAACCACTAATTTCATCTTCAAGGTGATTGAGGACTCAACTTTTAAGCCTCGGAGAGTTGAATGGAGGTCGTGGACTCAACTAACGTAAAGTTCCATAATGATTGGATGATTAATTCGAGTACAATTAGCTTAAGTTCAATGAATGCTTTCAGTTCGACACTTCGACAGATATTGTCTCAGTTTATCATTTTTAACTAATCATTGTAATCGATACCAGTAAGCTTTTTAAAAGTTGACAATATCGTCTTATTTGATAAAAGGGTACTTAAGGATTTCAATGGAAACCTCAAATATATTTTCATTATATGATTATGCCGATGCATCCTTGTTCATCACAACTTGAGTATTCAATAAAACTACGTAATTCTACTTCATGTATCTTCCAAATGCCTCCCAATACTCGATTTTCTTCTTCTTTTTTCCTTTTTTGTTAATGGTGATGGTGCCCGGGCTCTTATAACGCCCCCATAGTTCACCACTAGAGAGGAAATTCCTCATCCAAACAATAACTGAAAGATTCTGAATTTCCAATCTCCAAGATTGTGAAGTGAGAGCCTTGTCATTGTAATATCCCCTTGGAATTACTTGATTTTAATATCAAGCACTTAATTGAGTTAGGAAATCAAAATATAAAGGTCATGTTTAAATATACCTTTGCGTTCTTTCCAAACTCCTTTTTGAAAATTCCAAACGAGCCAGGGCCACAAACATCATGGGTCATCAAGATATCAACATTGACCCAAACATTATCACCTGGGCTCAACTGGGGTTTCTCAGAAGCCCTAGCCAATATCTTCTCGGTCATCGTCATTGCAGTCTTGACCTAAACAGAATCAAAGCAAGAAAAAAAAAAACCACCATCAAAATCCACCAAATTTTCAGACCCTCGCAGGAAATAAATCAATTTAATAGCAAAAGGAAAGAAATCCTACTGAACCAGTGGCGGAGGGCTTGCGCTCTGATTGCTGTGGTGCCATAACAGAAACAATTTTCCGGGAAACTCTTCTCCTGGAATTCTGAATACCAAAGGAGGGTTGGGATGAAAAAGCAGAGAGACCCACATCTTTCTGAACCCAGCAAAGGAAAAAAAATATATTGAAAACTAAATAAATTAGAAATGGGTCAGCGAGATTTTCCAGGGAAAGTGTGGGGAAAATGAAAGAATTGGTAAGATGTTGATGAGTGTACCTTATTGATGAAAGTTGTAGAGGTTGGTGCAATTGCAGATGAAGCCATTGATGGATTTGTATCGTGAATTCTATCTCGTTGTGAAGGAGGTTTCGCTGCCTATTTATTCCGCAGAAAAAAATGTGATGGTGTGGCGGCTTGAAAGTGGCATGTTTCTGGTTCTCTGCAAATGGAGACCCACCTGTTTTAGAAAAAAATGTTGGGTGTGGTGAGGTGGTAAGCCTGGCCCATTTTGCAGGGTTGGCAGTTGGGCTTCTCCTAAATGGACCTCCCCTCCTCCCTTAACTCATATTATATTTTTTGCCAAGTTGTTTTTTGAAAAGATATGACATGGTTTGAGTCCAATTCATCCGGACAAGCAAGTAATTGGACTTAGACTAAAAATATACGGTATAAGTTTTTTTTAACTTTTTGCTTGCGTGTTCGATGGTGATCAATCTGAACCAATGATTTCAAAACTATTTTTTAAAAAATTGTTATTTCACAGCATTACAATCTGTGTTCCACCTGAGTATTAAAAATGGAATAATGCTAGCAACTCCCTGTGATTTCTGTTAGATACCTGTAGTGATTTTGATAAGAGTAATGACAAGTGACCGAAAAAGGAATTCTCGAATTAATATCGAATCTGATGTGGTTGGTCATTCTTATCACGTGTTAAACAATTATTTTTTAGAAATTGTTTAAGTAGATGAGGTGAACAAAAACACATCAAATTCGATGTTTATTCGGAGTTAATTCATTAGTCTCCCTATAGTTATTCTTTTGATAAATTTGTTTATGGCTGTATCTCTCACCTTGGGCACATTTGGCGGGCTTCTGATTTGAATTTCTTGTATTGGGCTGGGCCCTTTTTTGTTCCTTTGCTATTTTGGCATTGGGCTGGGCCCCTTTTTTGTGCCTTTGCTATTTCAGCATTGGGCTTTACTGTACATACTCTTTTCCTTAATTTTACTTACCTACCTACAATTTTGCAATGTTCTCAATAGCAGCATTTTTTTGGCAATAAACCCAAGGGAAAAAAATAATAAAAAAAATAGTGGTAGAAAGTAAAGTGAGAACTTTTCAACTCGGAAGATTGATAATTCTCCCACGGAACAAATTATGCGGATACGGTTATTGCTTAAAAAAAATATCATTTTAACGCTTTTGCTCGGATTAATTAAAATGAAAGGAATTTCATTCTCACCTCCTCAATTAAATATTTAATTATGGTATTATACAATGACTTAGTTGATAGGGAACCCACTTTTTCAATCGGGTGTACCCAAATCCCCCTTCCCCCTCGTCTGCCCAAAAAAAAATATTTAACCATTTAACCCCCCTCATTTTAATATATATGTTTGAATCTAATGGTATAGTACTATAGTAGTATCAAGAAAATGGTATTTAAGGTCACTCAAATATAGTCTAAGATTACGGAAACCAGTCAGAATAAGATTTTCGTTGGATCATTACTAAAAAAATTGATCCAGCTCTCATTTTCTACCAACATAACTATATACAGCACATTCCTCTTTCGGTTACCTACCATTTTGCATTTCCAAAATGAAACTAAGAAGTCAGCGCCATTCAACCGAGACGGTAAAATTACATGTAGCATGCTAATATTTTCTACAGCACCTTGAGCAGTTTATTACATAAGCGTTCTCACTTTAACATTACAACAAATTGTTACATGGGAAGAGAGATCAAGAAATTACATAAGCATTCTCACTTCAACATTACAACATATTGTTACATCTCTAATATTTTCTACAGCACCTCGATTAAAGTTCAAGCACTACGCAGATATCATAACGCCGTTGCCGTTGTGCTGTCGTGATTAATAGCCTACTGCAGAAACTCTCTGGGATCCTTGAGCAGTTTAGTCAGAGCCTTGAGCAGTTTATTACGTAAGCGTTCTCACTTCAACATTAAAGCATATTGTTACATCTCTAATATTTTCTACAGCACCTCCATTAAAGTTCAAGCAGTACGGAGATCTCGTAATGCTGCTGTGCTGCCGTGATTAATAGCTTACTGCAGAAACTCTCTGGGATCCGTCACAAAACCAGTCAGAGCAGATGCTGCTGCTGTGTACGGTGAAGCTAAATAAATCTGGCCTTCTTTGTGCCCCATTCGACCAGGGAAGTTCCTATTAGTTGTTGAGACACAGACCTGCAATTATAAGCCAAGCCCTTCACAAAACTAATAATATAACCTATAATTTAATGATATGAACGGGTCTAAGCAGAAAAATTCCCGCCAGAAACTGCCTGAACTTTTTATAGCCACGGCAGTTATTGAGTCTAAGCATGCCGTTTTTTATCAGCAAAGACAATGGAGTATTACGCTTGTTAGGAAGAAAATAATTTATTGTTGCCGAAGTACCAAAATTTTCAATAGTGAAAGTAGAGAATGATGTGGGAACACGATACCACTCCAGGATTAACTTTTTCCAAGCATAGAATGGTCTATTTATTAGATAACTATCCTACCGCAATCTAAAGCAGTATGTATATATGTATATATATAAATTTGAGGAAAAGATTATAAGCTTAAAAACAAAGTGGATTGAATAGCTTGATTACAGCCCAGGAGCCAGCGAGAAGAGGCATCATTTCCCGACAGCTTGCAAAAGCACACTAATGCACTCTCAAAATATGCAATGGTATCTATAATCGCATCCTTTCCTATATATTGGCTCGTACAGATTGGCCCCAAGGCCTCTCTGTCGGGGATATTGAAGATACAACCCTAGCTACTCGTATAATCCAGCTCATAGGTTTATTATCCATCCCTCATCAATTAATCAGGTTTATTATCCATCCCTCATCAATTAATCAGTGTTCCAATAACAAAAAATGAAAAAAGAAAAAAGAACTGGCTTGCCTGTGGTTCATTCAGTCGTGCATAAGTGTCTCTAGGGCCACCCATACAAGCAGAACAACTGGGACTTGCAGGTGTATCGCAACCAGCTTCTTCAAAGATCTGGGAGCAAGTCTTGCCACCAGATCCTGGAACTGGGAGGCTATATACGTCCATCCACACCTAAAAATTTCAACATATGAATTCTTCACTATTTTCTCGACCAATAATGAACTATTTGATATTCCAATTGCATAAATATTATAACTTCAGTACTAAAAGACCTAACAGCAATAACCTTTTGGGTAGCAGGGACAAGGAATGTGGGAACTTTGACCTTTTTGCCCTGCATATAATAAGATTATTTTTTTAGCTCAAGAAGAATAAGAATATGACATGCCAATAAATATTATTTGGCGTCTAGGTTTCATACTTTTCAGAAATGCAAGTAAATAAGCAGTCACAGAAATAACCTTTATATCCCCGAAAGGGATGGTGTGCATCTTGAGTGGTTTCAAACTGGATCAGATGGTGACACGTGCTAAAAGGTGGATTTCCATAGAGAGGGAGGGGGAGAGAGAGAGAGAGAAGTAAAAGAATGCCTTACCAAGAAATGGACTGTCAAAGAATCATATGGATTGCCATAAAATGTAATTAATTCCTAGTCACAATGTACACAATACAATGACATTTGAAGCAGATTATAGTGTCCATATACCAATACAATTGAAAAAAATGCTATAGTGCAGTGTTGGTCCCACTGATGCGAGGTGCTAGAAATAAGGTTTGTACCCATTCCACCCCTCAAACTCTATACAATAGAACATGAAATAATACGTGCAAATTTCGCATAGCACTACGGTTTATTATCAGACATGGGTTTACTAGATGCTTCCTTGATATGCAGCTGGAAATTTATAACTTTTAGAATAATAATAGATAATATATAATTGAATTCCAATCCAAGAAAGTGTGTGTATTAAAGAAGAATAGTGGTGTTCAAATGTTAATTCTGTCAGCATCAAACAATCACTCTGATGAAAAGGATTAATAAACAGTAGAGATATTTCGTGTCTTACTGAAGCTAAAAACACTTTGGCTGCAGCTAGAAAATCCTCGGTTTTCCCACCTGTACAAGATCCAATATATACCCTGTCGATTTTCACATCTTTGCATTCCCTCGCTAAAGCACGATTATCAGGAGAATGAGGCTGCAAAACATGGAATATACTACTCACTATAAAAGATAATGCTAAAATTATTTCAAACATTTAAAACATGGACAAAATACTTGTCATGTAATAAATTATCCTATTCTGATATTGGAAGAGTATTTCATAAGACAGGATTATATATACTTAGGCTAAATTTTGTTCTCGAACTCTAGACCTAGAGGTTGACCACTCAAGCCAACTCCTAAGCCAAAGAGGCCATTAGAGGACCAGTCCTTTTTAATCTTCTCTCACAAATGAAAAGGAGGTTAAAGTTATGATGCCACTCACTTTTGCCACCAATGGCTCCAGTTTTGAGATATCAAATCTGTACTCCGAGAGAAACCTAAAAGATATCAAAGTAAGCTCATCAGTAGATATTACGTCTTAAAAGAGAACTTTGGAAGAAATCAATACAAGAAAAATCTTGAAGGAACATAAAACATAGAAATATCTTTTTCTTCCAATACCATCATCTATACATATGACAACAATAATCTTTCCTAGTTTACGTAATTACTCCCTTTTTTGCGATTTGAACCACAAACAATATAAGTTTTCAATTGAGAATTTTTAAATGTGTCAAAACTGAAAATAAACCAAGTCTAAACATGACCATAGTATTATAGAACATAAGATTTCATTCAGCTGTAAGCCACAACGACATGACAAGCAAATCTGGAATATCAGTGTGAAACTGAGATTCAGCTTAAATTTCCAACCAAATCAATCTTTTTGATGTAACAAGAATTTGTATTCCCAAATGATTTGATGGATTTGTATAATTGTGCTAACTTTATTTTTTGGCTACAATCCTCCAATTATCTTTCTGGCTACAATTCTCAAATTATATTTGATGTTCCAAAAGCATGTGTAAAACAAATTACATACTTTTTGAGCATCAATAGGCATTTAAAAACGAGGAAAATAGAATCAGGAATTGCATTGCCACATGGTGTCCAAAAGGTTTGTTGTCATCGAAATATTAAAAATATAAAGAAAAAAAATATGATCACCCAAATAATAAAAATGGTTAAATATCAAGACACATCTCCTTTTTGCTTTTGCTTTTCTCTTTCATGGTTCATCAATTAATACAGAATTAATAGAGTAAAGCCCATAAACTTATCGTTCAAATGATGAAAGAAGTATTCACCAATGGAAAATGGAACCATGATCAACCACCAGCCTTTACTCAGAAAAGGAAAAACAAAACAAAAAATTAACTACAGATACATACAGATTTCTTAAAAAATTAACAGGAGCGAACGACAACTTTTTGAACAACAGATATGATATATCCAACCTTGAGAATATGGGAATATTTGCCCAACTAAAAAATTTTAAAAACAGAGAACAAAAAGTTTCAATAATTGGAACCTTAAATTTCAATGCAAAAATCAATGAAGACATCAATCTAAATAGTTAAGCATATGAATTTCTACAGAATAGAGATTTGTAATGTTTCAACCATAAAGCAAGGTTGTTAGGATTGATATGATACGTTGCATTGATGGGGGACCCATTAGGATCGGATTGAGGATTTTAGGATCCCAAAAAATAAGACTAGAACTATTTATTTTATTTTTTGATAGGTAAAAATAGGATACGCAAAGAAAAAAATTGTAGCTACTTTAAAATTAAAGAAAGTTGTGGAAACAAAGGAACTACCTCCAATTGTGTTAAGTAGTATTCTAAGACTATAACTATATTTATAGTTAACAAATTCTTAAAATACACAAACAAGAAGCCTGAAGCAAAAAAGATTATAGAAATAGAATGAGACATAGGGAACATTAAGTATGCACTAGTTCACCCAAGCAAATTTTGAGAAGTTAAATCAAAAGGTAAAATCCTCGCACCAACATTACATTTTTAAATTTGTAAGGTTTTTCACAAGGATGAAGTATTGATTTAACTATAATTTTTGCTAATGCTCCAGTTCTGAATGGCTCACGTTGAAGTCTAGATGCCATCAAATGCAATGAAAAGAATAAATTAATCAGACTTCTTTGGAGTGTCCAAAGATCATGTTAATTAATGTACTTATGTTTTCCCAACCCCATATAAATATATAGAAGAGAAGGAGTAGTTCCTAGCAGTAGATAAAGGTTCCGACTCTCAATTACCTTGCTTGCTCATCACTATAAACTGGTTCATAGGGCATAGATGTTTTATCCTGAGTAAAAGAGAGAATAAAATTGTAAATATTGGTTAAGGTAATTTAGTTGCATAATAAGAACTTCTAGTATATCCTTTGCAAGAATACACAAATAAGAAAGAAGCCCTAGGCAGGCAATGTAGTTGCAAAAAAAAGCAGGAACGTGCGCACGCACACACATAGAGTTAAAACAGATTTGATGATGATAGCACTAACCTCGAGGTACTTATACGTAGTACTATCAGCTGGGACGACGCCATTCTTCCCCCCTGCTTCAATGACCATGTTGCATAGAGTCATCCTTTCCTCCATCTTTTCAATGCAAAATAGTAGAAATATTATAACATGTTCCAGTGCAGTGTGTTTAAACAACTCTTTTTCTTTTTTTTTTTGATAAGTGTGTGTTTAAACAACTCATACAAAGATATGTTAGATATTTGCATTGGGAAATCAAGTACTTACTGTTAAATTTTCAACAGTAGTTCCAACAAACTCCATTGATTTATATGTTGCACCAGACACAGATATTTCACCAATAATCTGCAATGTCAAAACCGTAGAGTGAATCAACAAAATTTGGAGGCTCCACAATGATTAAAATAAAAAAATAAACCACGTAACCTATTGAACATGCAAAGATTTTTCTATCTTTCTTTTTACAGAATCTTATTACATTTTCAATAATCAAAAATCCATCCCCTATTTCATTCTCTTCACTGCCCTTTTATAGGCAACCACCAGTACTGCTGGTCTATCTCTTTTGGGCCTTCTTTCCAATGGGCTCGGTCCTCTTCAGTGGATCCTCCAAGCTCGGCCCATTCCGTGGTGCTTTTGTATGGGCTATACTTCAATTGTTTGCCCCGATCCCATGCCAGCGAGCTATAACCGGCCCATATCACTTATTGTATCCTCAACTGCCCCCATAATTACTCCCTATTAATTAGGGGGTAATTATTAGAGGCTGCTAATCATGACCTGACGGCTCGAGAAGATTGCATGGGAGAATGGACGGTTAGATTTGGGGGTCGGCGCTTCGAGATTCAAAAAACTCCTCACTTTCTTGACTCCTCGGCCCTCGGGCCCACCTTGTCTTTATAAGCCTCATAGATGTTCCATCGATTCTCTTTACGTCTTCATCTCACTTTTTTGTTGCTCAAATCTTCTCCGGCGATTTCTTACAAAAGCTCCTTTTTCCAGCGACCTTGCAGTACCCTTTGACGTTCTCACTCTCTGAGGTTAGTTTCATTTGCCTTTTTCTTTCGGAAGACCTATTTTTCTTCCTTAAAATCCTCATTCATTCTCACCATGACTGTAGATCTAGATGTTCTTCGCATGAGACTTCACCTTCCCGACGATATACAAATTAGAAATTGCCCTAAAAAGGTGAATAATAGAACCGGTGCTGACCTTCTTCCCGACGAGGTTCTGTTTTCACACCTTCATCTTAACCTCCTTAGGTTCCCTTTGCATCCCTTCTTTTGCTACGTTTTTAATAAACTAAAACTTTCCCCTTTGCAAGTAAACCCAAATTTCCTTAGGATTTTATCAGTTATGTTGCTTCTGAACCGTGACAGAATTCTAGATCTGGACCTCGTAGATCTTCTCCTCTGTTACAAGGTTAGCAAAATCAGAACTGATGAACTGTTTTACCACTTCTACCCCATTGAGAAGAGGTCCATCTGCAAAGATAAGATCAAATTCGAGAAGGGTTGAAGGAAAAATATAATTGGGGTTAGGGGAGCCTGGTTTTCTCCAGCTGCAGAGGATTTCCCTATCCCGAGCGCTTTTGAAGAGTGCTTTGTCTCTTCTTATAAAAAATACAAAACCCATAGGAGTGACTGTCCTTGCGAGATTTGCATTCCTCGTTTTTGTACTTTCTTGTGCCGTTCCTTAGGCATTCCTTGTGATGATTTGAGCTACGGTGTGTGCAGGGATAGGGATAACTACCTGAAGCAGTACGTTCTGACCAACATTCCCTCCTGCTCGGACCTCCTCACTTCAGACAACCTCCTTGCTCTCTCAGCCCTCGGCAAGACAATGAGTCAACTCCAAATCCCTTCCTTTGGCAGGAGGAAAACTGCCCCCAGGCCCGTTGTTGCCCCTGCAGCAACTTCTTCTCCAGCTTCAGTATCTTCCTCCGCCACCATTTCTGATACGACTCCTTCCACTGATCCGATTGTGACGGCTATTGACCCGATCTCCAACACAACAACCGCTAGTCCGAACGTGACCCCCTCTGTCAGCAACCTTCCCAGCTCTACTACTGCTTCCGCACCGGAAAAGACAAGAGGAAAAAGGCATCAGCCTGATAGTGCCCTCAGCCTCGATGACATTCCTTTGTCACAGAGGGTTAGGCCTTCTGGGCCGAATGTGTCCGTGCATCCTCTAACCAGGCCTCCTCTGACTAGGCCCCTTACCCCTTCTGGGCATGCCTCTGCCTCAAGAACAGCACCATGGAACCCTCGCTTCATTCGAACAGACGGATCGTCTGTAAAGCCGAACGAAACCATGTTCAAGGATGGTCAGACAGCTATGGCATACTACAGGAGCATGTGGACTCCTAAAGACATTAAGGTAGCCAAGGGTCTGTCTCAGAAGGAAGTGTTCAGCCGGTTTCCCTTATCTGCCATGGAGGTAACTTCTGCCTCTCAGTCAATGAATCTTTATACAGTCTTTACACTTGATTTCTTCTAACCATCTGCTCGGCTTAACCAGTTGTCATGTATATCTCTACAGACCCTGTATGGGATGATGGCTATGCAAAAGCAGGTTGAGCTGGTGAATGCCAAGGTTCGCACGCTCTCTGACAGCCTTGGTGCAGCTAACAAGGAGAACGATGCTTTGGCTACTCAGAAGACCGGGTTGATGGTTCAGCTTGGCAAAGTTAAAAAGGAGAGGGACTCCCTGAGGAAGGAGACGGACTCTCTTCAGGATGAGAGGAATGCTTTACAGCTCGAGAAGAGCGTTTGGCATACCGAGCGAGAATCCCTAAAGGCTGAAAAGGAAGAACTGCTACGCCTTCTGAGTGATGAGCAATCCGCTCGGATGGCCTTTGAGAAAAGGGCTTTGAACGAGCGCAATACTTTACTCGACACCATTAGTAGGGTAAATGGTGGTATGCTAGCTCTGCACGCTCGGTTTTCCAGAGTTGGGGCCCTCAGATATGCTCAGGGGTTCTGAGAGGGTCATGCCGATCGTGTTCCGGGTGAGAGTCAGACTGGTTCTACCCCTGATGAGGTTGACAGGGAGCTGGAGATTGATCTTCCGGGTATTTATGCCGATCCAGACTCCACCCCTGCTGAGGGCATATTTGATGAGTGCCAAGAGATTGCCTCTTCCCGAATCACTCCTACTCCTTCTACCGCTCTGACTTTGGACGCTCTTCCTCTGTCCACCGTGACTCCATCTGTCACTGCTGCTGAAGATAACCCTCGGCAGAATGATTCTTCCAATGCTATTGAAAAATAGGACTCAGCAGAATGATTCTGTCATTCAGCTCGATTCTCCTCCCCGTGAGGATGGTAACGCCAACAATGATGAGGAGGCCGTTCAGCACCATCAAGAAGCTGACAGGGCAAATGCTTCTAGTTAGAACCTTTTTGATGTATTGACCTTCCTTCTTTTGTATTTTTGCCATCTGTATACCTCATCATTTTTTGTAACTCTTAAACTTCATCATTAATGAGATGGCCAACTTTTGATCGAACTCTTACCATAAATCCCTTGATTTAATGATTCAATGCTATCTGATCTGGTTCTTCTCTGTATTTCAGTGGTTGGCTTTCAGCTAGTGTGTCACAGCAAAAGTTTTTTGTGCAAGTTTCTGGCGCTCGACTCATGGTGCCAGTTGCCACTTACTTCGCTGAGCGGTTGGCGCTCGGCTAGAATGCCACTTTCTACTTTCATTCTTTTATTTTTTGGCATGTTTTTGGCGTTCGGCTCATAGTGCCAGCTGCCACTTACTTTACTGAGTGGTTGGCGCTCGGCTAGAATGCCACTTGCCACTTTCACTCTTTTATTTTTTTGGCAAGTTTTTTACGTTCGGCTCATAGTGCCAGCTGCCACTTACTTTGCTGAGTGGTTGGCGCTCAGCTAGAATGCCACTTGCCACTTTCACTTTTTAATTTTTTTGGCAAGTTTTTGGCGTTCGGCTCATAGTTCCAGCTGCCACTTACTTTGCTGAGTGGTTGGTGCTCGGCTAGAATGCCACTTGCCACTTTCACTTTTTTATTTTTTTTTGGCAAGTTTTTGGCGTTCGGCTCATAGTGCTAGTTGCCACTTACTTTGCTGAGTGGTTGGCGCTCGGCTAGAATGCCACTTGCCACTTTCACTCTTTTATTTTTTTGGCTAGTTTTTGGCGTTCAGCTCATAGTGCCAGCTGCCACTTACTTTGCTGAGTGGTTGGCGCTCGGCTAGAATGCCACTTGCCACTTTCACTCTTTTATTTTTTTGGTAAGTTTTTGGCGTTCGGCTCATAGTGCCAGCTGCCACTTACATTGCTAATTTTTAAACATTCAATTTTTTCATAAGAAGATAACTCTTTATAGATTTCAAAATTTCGTTCATTCGTGCGTACACAATTTGAGAATGATCAATGATAAAATTGGAAATCGATTTTCTATTGATAATACCTTTTCAGAGACGTAGCATTCCATGGCTTGTTGACCAGCCTTCCGGCCATGGTTTTTAAAGTGTAAGCTCCCTTCCCTAAGACTTCTGCAACTCTATATGGGCCTTCCCAAGGTGCCACCATTTTCTTAACCATTCCTACCTTCTTCTTCAGAACCAAATCACCTTGTGCAAAGTCTCTGTGCTTTACCTTTTTGTTATGGCTATTCATAAGTGTCTGTTGGTAGGACGCAAGCCTTACTACCGCTGCATCTCTTTTTTCCTCCAACATATCGAGGTTAAACCTCAACATACTGTCGTTATGCTCTCAATTCCATGCCAAGCTTCGGACAGTCGGAACCAAGTGTTCGACCGATATAACTGCCTCCGTACCATATGCCATGGCGAACGGGCTTTCTCCGGTCGGTCGCCTTGGGGTCGTTCTATAAGCCCACAAGATGTTCGGCAGTTCGTCTAACCATTTTCTTTTCTTATCTTCAAGCTTCTTCTTGATGCAAGCAAAGATTGTTCTATTCGTGATTTCTGCTTGTCCATTAGCCCGGGGATGACTTACTGCCGCCAGCTTTTGATTAACTCCATATTCCTCCAACAACTCTCTTACTTGCTTACTGTCAAGGTTGGTCCATTATCCATGACGATTGACCTCGGAACACCAAAACGGCAAATAATATTATTCCAAATGAACCGTCTCACATGAGTCCGAGTCACGCTCGGGTACGGCTCTGCTTCCACCCACTTAGTAAAGTAATCTGTAGCCAGCAGCACATACTTGTTCTGAGCTCTGGCAGTTGGCAGAGGACCAACCACATCCATCGTACACAATTTGAGAATGATCAATGATAAAATTGGAACTCGATTTTCTATTGATAATACCTTTTCAGAGACGTAGCATTCCATGGCTTGTTGACCAA